CACGTGATCGGGATGAAGAGCAAGAGAAAAGGAGACGAGAGGCGAAACTGTTTCATTCTCGTGTGGGATGGGGTTATGTATATTGTGGCGCCAGTGATCATAAAGCTAATGACTGTCAAAGTCATGATGAACAGAAGCCAAGCGAATGTACGACGAGACTGATGGAAATGTTAATGGGGACACATACTACGCAATTGGAACTGTATGATGCTCAACTGTCTTCCATCGATAGAGAGTTTAAAATGGATGCCAAATTGACCAAGGTAAACAAAGCTCAATTGCTAACAATACCTAATCCACAGTACCAACGAATGGTAGCAACATATTCCCAACTCCAACCAGTCATCATTGCAGACAAGGATACCAAGGATCAGCTGCCTATACATGTAATCCTAAGCGTGGGGGATTATGCCAAGATCAAAACAAATGCAAATCCACTTATTGAGAAAACCGAGGAGCCCATTGCAGAACTTACTCGTTTTGGATGGTTTATTATGTCTCCAGGCAATGAGTTTGACAGACGAGCAATGTTACTGATGCAAACTAGTCAAGTTGATTATAAGCAACTCTGCCGCCTGATGTGCTGGGTCTAGAAGATTCATCAGTTGATGGTTCACTCAGAATTCAAAGAACAAGTACAGCGTTCGCCGGAAGGGTGGTACGAAATGCAATCACCATGGCGCAGCAATCACCCTGTACTCCGTTCCAACAAGTCTGGAAGCCTGCATCGCTTGAATGCGTTGACCGAGAAACTGCAACGTGATGGTCTCACTGAGCAATATGACAGTGTAATTTGGGAACAGCTAAAAGCATGGATCGTGGAGAGGGCTACAAACATGCCAGTGAACAAAGAGTTCTATATACTACACAAATGTGTAATCAAGGAAAAGTCCGAGACGACCAAATTGCGTATAGTATACGACGCGTCAGCTCGGGAAACGCCAGAGAGTCCATCCCTGAACGAATGCCTTCACAGCGGCCCATTTCTTCAAAACAAGCTCTGGGATGTCCTGGTCCAGCAACGAGCATTTCCTGTGATGGTTTCTGCAGATATTCGTCAAGCATTTCTGCAAATATGAGTGAGAGAAAATGATAGGACTATTGACTAACAAGCTCACTCTGAATAGGGAGAAGACCGAATACATGGTAATTGGATCTAGACAAAAGCTCTCTAATATTTCAAATGAGCTGGAAATCCACGTAGGTAAAACAAAAATAAAACGAGTAAGATTTTCTAAAACTTTAGGTGTTGTTATAGATGAACACCTTACCCGGGAAAGCAAATCGAAAACATTCAAACAAAAATTCAAAAGGTATTGGCACGTTGCGGAGAATGAGAAAATTAGTTCCAAAAACAACATTAACAAAAGTCTATAGTGCCATTATTTTACCACATTTCGACTATTGTAACTGTGTATGGGGCAATTGCAGTGATTACTTAATTGATAAATTACAAAAATTGCAAAACAGAGCAGCACGCGTAATCACTGGCAAAACATATACGAAACGAGATCACGAGATATTTTAAAAGAACTTCACTGGCAACCCCTGAAAGAACGCTTTAAACGAAAGAAACTAATTTTTACGCATGGCTTGAGTAGCAAGAAGTTTTACCCAGGCTTGAGTAGCAAGAAGTTTAGATTAATTCTCGATCACTATTCTCTAGAATGATAAAATTTTCGATATCTATTGTGCTTATATATTAAGGGGGGCTGGTAATTTATTTGCATATAATTGTATAGTATAGTGAATTTTTTTTCCTGTAAACGAACGGCCTCTTGAAAATCAGGTGCGTAAGAGCCCTTTATGGTGATGATTGGCTACTTAAATCACATAATACTATATCTATGACTATATAAAAATACATTAGGTCTGGATTTGACCATTCTTTATTTCTACAACAAAAAATGTAATTCGAAGTTCGTATAGCGATTGATATCATTCTTTTTGTTGCCAAGACAAGTAAAAAACGTTAGGGAAAAGGAAACGAGATCAAATAAAGATAGATTATATAACTACTTCTGCAGGACAGAACGTTGTAGAAAGTGGAACGAAAAACAAATCTAACATCCAAATGCGGAAAAGCGGCGCTACAAAGACGGTTGATTTGAGTGGGAATCTGAATAGAGTGTAACCCAGTAAAAGGAAGACAAAAAAAAATTATTTTCTTAGGTGTTGTTAGGATAGGCGGTTTTGGATCGAACGTATATTATCGAGAAATTTTCGGACTAGACGGTCGAATACATGCATGCGAAGGAAACCCGTTGACTTGAAATAACTTCCTAACGATTTCGAGTTGGACGTGAAAGTTTTCACAGCTCGAGCAGAGATTGAAAATGCGATGGAGTAAACATGATATTAAGCAGCGTTTATAATTGAGTGATATAAAGCTATGGAAATTGGTGAAGAAACCAGTAAACGTAGGTTTGCGATACACCGAAGTTGTAAACTTCCCGTTAGAGCGTAATATATCAACATCGAGAAAAGGGAGCTTGCCATTGTGTTCGTTGTCAGATGTGAAGATATATTGGAATGCTGTCGGTTAAGATAATCAAGGAAGAGAGGTACGTGATCCAGAGATCGGAGGAGAAGGAAGAAATCATCTACATATAGCGTCGATAGGGTACTGGTTTGAATAAGGTTTTGGAGCCATATTTGCTCATGAAAAAGTGGACCTAAGGGGCTGCCCAGTGCCACGCCATCCACTTGCTGTTATAGACGACCATTGAATATGAAATGGCAGTTCTTAACAGATAGGGACAAGACTATAGACTTGTATAACTCATTTATGTCTGTCATTTTGCCATCTTCAGAACAGTTTATGACTTCCTTCGCCAGCTGACTTTAAGGGACTAACTTGAAATGTACGTTTGAGTGTGTCTTATCACAGCACCCGGAAAGTGATCTAATTGTTCCATCTGTTAAATTATTGGCCTACAGCTAAAGTTTTATCTGTTCAGAGCAGATTTCCTCCACCCCTGTGGCAGAGTTGCCCATTATGATAATGAAAACAAGATGACAGACATAAAATTCCAATTCGCAAGCAAATAAATTATTTTATTATATGGCAAGCGCTTGTTTTGGTTAATTCTGCAATTTGATTGGCTGCTGACAGGTCCGGATTTCCCCGTATTGCCCACGGGCAATACGCAATTCTTATTGCCCTGTGAAAAGGCAAACTCACGGCAAAAACTAACTAAATTTAAACTGAAAAACAGATTAAATTCTTAAACGGAAAATAATGAATTTGAAATAAAAATAATAAATTTATATTTTACAAAATAGAGCGGTTTTTTTCACTTTAGGCCGATGTTTTGGTGTCGTGTGCCCGGATGAGATTGATCATTAAATTACTCATAAAGAATTAATCATTACAATGTCTGCATGCATGAAATATGCCATATAATAAAAAACTTACTAACTTCGACTGTTCGGTCTGTACGGTAAAATATCAAACCTCGGTCTTGGTGTATTGACCTCGCTATCGCTCGGTCAATACAGCACGACCTCGGTTTGATATTTTACCGTACAGACCTCACTCTCAGTCAGTAAGTTCTTAATATTTTTAAATAGGTAATTTTAGACGTATTTAGTATAGTATAGTATTTAGTATAGCAATAAAAGGTCAACTGGGCGTAATGGAAGTTCAATAAAACAACAATTTAATTTATGCCATTTTTTAACGTTCAAATCTGCGAGTCAAATAACTATAGCATGTAGGGAATAATCATCAATGCAATACGATTTACAATAAGGAAAACCCATAGATCATTCAAACAATAATTTATTTTCAATTAACCGTTTACATTTTTATTATGATTACCATTCGTATAATTATTTGCATGCAACGACAGAGCACTGCGATGACAAAGTTTTTGCAAGACCCAAATAAACAGTTCATTTAATCATCCTTGAATATTTTCTCTCACCAGGCATCGTGGTAGATAGGACTGCATCAATCGAAACCAGGCAGTACAGTTTTCGACACTGTCTCTTGCGTAATTCTACGTCTTCTTCCCTCAGCCCGTGATAAAAATCGATTCAGTGAACGCCTTTCTCTCCTAACATGCATTCTTATGTGTATTGTACTGTAGTAATTGAACTTTCACAATTCTGCTTAAATTTACAATGGCACGAACGGGAGTTAAATTGAAAATACATTATTATTTAAATGATCTATGGGTTTTCCTTATTGTTATTCTTGTCGCACTACACTAATGATTATTCCCTACATGCTATTGTTATTCGACTCGCACATTTGAACGTTAAAAGATGGCATAATATCCGCATTGTGTTTTTTGATATCCGCATTGTGTTTATATAATATATTGTCTTTGAAGTTGTTTGGAATTTTTGTTCTTCTCTCTGGCACAAAATTGTCCCAAAAAAGTAAAGGTGCACTATAATTATTCGTAAATATTATGTGTTCTTATAATTATTCGTGTGTGTTTGTTTTTTTTTCACGTTTTCTTCTGGAGTCGTTCGTTTTTTGGTCGAGTTGCCCCTTTTTTGGTTGAGTCGCGCCTATTTGTCGCGACTCGCGAAGCGCGTCAATTAGACTATCTCGTTATACTCAGTGTTTACACAGTTTCATTTTTATTTTATTTTCCTTGATGTTGAATCGATTGAAACATTCTCATTAGTTACAAAATCGATCACGTGGTTTTGTTGCCTGGCAACAGATCATGATAATCGTGGTTTATTCGCAATAACCCATGAAAATCGTGGTTTATTCAAAAATGACAGCCTGCAACGAAGTTTGGATCTTAAATGCAGCAATCAATGAATTCAGATTGCATACTAATAATCAAGGGTTAGAGACTTTATGTTCGTGTTTTGTTTACAAATAAACGCACTTGCTGACCATACAATGAACTCGAAATTTCAATATCAATATTGAAATTTCTCGTTGATTGTATGGTCATCGCGTGCGTTTATTTGTCAACAAAACACTCACAACAGTCTCTAACCCTTAATTATTAAACTGTTCTTTTTTGTAGACAATAACGGGAACAACTGATCAAAAGCGAACTACTGTGCCACTCATTTATAATTTGGATCAAAATATCATGGGGTTGGACGTCATCGACTTTCCCGGCGTTGACGATCGTGATAAATCAATCCCTGAATTGGCTAATTTGCTGTTGAGTTTGACGCGAATAATCATATTCGTGGTTGATTACAGGTATATTCAACGCGCGATAGTGTATATATAGACGTGCCTAAATGGACAAAAATACTTATTTCGAAATTATTTACCATGCATTTTTCCATTTATAAACCAATTAAATGTAATATACGTTACTAGAACAACCCGGTACTAGCAACAGACTTTTATTATTCCCTAATATCGTACTCGTCCCTTCTATATCTCTCACTTCGTCACATGTCTCCGTTTTATATTACTCTCAACCTAATTCCTTGCCAATCATACATATGTCACTTAATACCTATTAATTATTATAGTCGATCACATATATTACTACCCCCCTCTCTAACTCGTCGCAGTAGTTCTTAACTCTCCTTTGTCTCCGTCTGGGTTCCCACCATTACTAAAGGCGATTCTCTATTGCGTCCGCCACGCCCGCGGGCGATGCGCGCTTTGTTTTTCAGACCCGTCACGGTCGCATGGACAGAATTTCAAAGGCCGCTTCGCCCGCGCGGGTGTGCTGGCTTGAAAAGCTTAAGGGTGTGCTGGCTTGGCGACCGTAGATCGGCCGCTCGAAATGGTGAAACCCCTGACGACGAGTGTACGCTATTACGGTATGCGAACAAGGCGAGCGGTAAATGAACGTCCCAGCAAGTGTGGGCTTTATTCTCGTACGCTACGAACCTTCGACGGGTTAGGATCGGTCCCTCGTGCTGATACGATGTAACCGAGTAACTTAAGCTGCTTCTTGAGCAAACTGGCACTTTTCCCGTTTGACTTTCAACCCTGCCGCGCGAATACGACTAAATTCGTCATTCAAAATTAGCTGGTGCTCCTCCCATGTCTTGGAAAAAATTATTATGTCATCAGCGAAGACAAGGCACCCCTTTTAGCCCTTCAAGACATTTCCCATCATACGCTAAAATCTTGTGAACGCCTTGGTTAAACCGAAAGTTATCACCGTGAACTCGTAGTGGTCTAGCTACCCCCACCGAAAATGCAGTCTTCTGCCTGTCTTCATGCCTTAAGGGTACCTGCCAATACCCAGAGGCGAGATCTAGGGTACTGAAGTGACGTGCACCCCTCAACTAGTCCAGAATGTCATCGATACGAGACATTAGTTGGGCCAAGAAGAATTGGTTAGCGCATTAACACGCCGAAAGTCAACACAAAATCGATAATCATCGTATTTCTTTGGTGCTAATACGATCGCTGAGGACCAAGGACTGTTGCTAGGTTGAATCAGACCCCTTCCTAACATATCAGCTACCTGTTTGTTCACGACTTTTCGATCAGAACACTTAGTTTATTCACCGTTGTGGGAGTTGTCTCAACCATTAATACTGTTTCCCCAGTTCTCCACGTTCTTCAGTTTCCCCTGATCCAACACCAGCAGGTCTTCCCCACCAAACCCTCTTGCCCACGAGGAACGTGGTTTTAAGCGCCATACGATTATAGCATAGTAATCACGTACACTATTACTATTAGTGACGTAGCTATATTATTATAATTTCTGTTAGTATATATTACTGAGAGAATCACGGGAGGCGATCTCTCTCTCTCTTCCGTTCTGTGTTATCTTAAAATACAGACGTTGATATTTTCTCGTCGTTTGAGTCCTTTCGTTCTTACTAGCGTGGTGGCAGCGACTTCATATCGATAACCTTCGATTCCTAACACAACAGGGATTCTAAACACTGATAAGGAAGAAAGGATATTGCTAAAACAAGATACAAACGGGACAGCTTTTGCGATAGTGTGTAATCGAGATAAGACCGGCACACATTACGGTGAAGGCTGCACGAGTAGTTCACATACGTTTCGAACTAATTCCATTTGTATTTTAGCGAGCATTACGGCTAGTAACCGGGCCCCTAAGCACTGGTTCCTTACAAAACAAGAGACAATAACATCCTTCCAAGCGTGGCACCAAAACCTACAATATACGTTATCGTTAATGTGCCATTCTTAATCTACGGCGTAACATGGCTGAAGAAAACAACTGCCGCCCCGTTACGAGGTTTAGAGAGCGATACCGAGCCGGTACCAGATACTCAGCGACGCACCGCAGAGCAAAAAGCAGCCCAGCTCGAACTCTTACTGGGACAGATAGCCAAGAATTCAAAATCGTTATATACTATATGACAAGTAATCCGGTCCCATTTTGGGTTGCAGTCTACAGGCGATCACTTCCTAGACTTTAATAACATCCACTTAAAGCCTGACGAACGCTCAGAAGATCTTTACCAATGGTTAGTTAGCTTCTTACTTAAACAACTGACTTAAAGCTAACGGGGGAATTAGACACCAACCATGGTGAGAATGTAACAACCGATGAGGAAAGCTCTCCAGCCATAGAGAATATCATCGTCGTAACCAGGCTGCATCTCCTTGTCCCCGCTTTATCTGCATTAGTCAAGCAATGGAGCAAGGGGATGGAACGGCGCTGACCTTCGATCCAAAACCATTGTTTCCCTTAAACCCGAAATTTCCCTTGCTTTGAATACCATACTTGAAGAAATCCATTCAACGAACCAGGCCAAGGTCCTCCACACCACCTTCAAAAGAACCTAACGCAACAACACACCACCTGCAACTCACTGACCACCTGCGTATTATGGGTATGACAATATATGAAATCAACGCCTCAGTGCACCTGTTACATAGTTACTCCGCCTGCGTATGCGCAGCGGAGTCTTAAAATGCCATGGTCTTTTTTCCTTTTCGTCGTTTTGGGCGACAGAAGTTGGCATTTCTACAGGTAACCCAAAACATTTTGACCGAGAAGCCCTGGGTTACACGGTCCACGGATGAATTAGGTACATCAGTTGGCATGCAGGCGGAGTGAACGCCTTGAGCAGGCGTCTTGTTAAGGTTAAACACACATTGTTCGTTTTTTCCTATTAACGTTTCTCACTAACTAATGACACCGTTGCACCTGTGTCCACTAAACACTTTCGCTCATGGTGGCATATATATATATATATATATATATATATATATATATATATATATATATATATATTATATATATATATATATATATATATATATATATATATATATATATATATATATACTGTCGTTGTCAAAAAGGTTGTCCTGAGCAAGTATATGTATATATCGATCACGTGACATTATTATGCATCAACACGCGTGGGATTGTACAAGCGTGTTAATTGCGAGTTCGAGTATAGCAAGGTGAACGATTAGAAAATGCCAAGACCATATTTGGATGATTTAAGGTGGAGAATGGTTTATCAACGATTTACAATCATGGAAATTGCAGCACGCTATTTGTTTGTTCAAAAACCGTCTATCGTATCTCAGCACCTTTTGGAAACGGGTGATGTGAAGCCTTGCCGTATGGGTCGCCCAACAGCGAGTGTATCTTTATTCCCACACGAAGAATATATTATCATGGACTGTTTACTGCGAACACCGCAAATACAGTTGAATGAGATAGCAAGCTATATCATTAATGCTACTGGCTCTGCATTTGGCCCGGAGACACTGTGCCGAGCTCTCTGTAGGTTTGGAATAACACGCAAAAGGTACGAACATTATGACATTATTTAAGTGTGAATATATATGTATTTAATACCGCACGCTGGAAATCATATAACTATATTAATAGACGCAAGCCATTCCACCTTTTTCCAATTTATTACAAGATTCTAGTTGTTCTTTATCAACTCTTCAAGCCAGATTTTCTTTTTCAGATACAGAGAATTGCCCTTCAGCGAAGAAACGATATTGGGCTACAATTCATGGCCAAAATCAGCCTTTTTGACCCAAACCTGCTCGTTTTCCTCGATGAAACAGGCATTGTATGTACTAAATGATACTTTACTGTAACTGGATTGCACAAACTAGTAGATCTCTTATTTATTTGGTTCTACGTTTTAAGGATAAACGAATTGCTCGACAATATGGATATAGTGCTCGTGGGATACCGCCTGTTGTGAGCGACTATAGCTATGCACGGTGGACACCTCGCTATTCCATTATTTCGGCAATATCGTGTGATGGACTTCTTGCGAACTGTTTGTTAAAATCCTGAAGAAAGATTTGAAACACGCTCCTTTATCCATTTTCTTGATGAACAGCTTTTACCAGCTATGAATCGATTTGATGGGGAACACCCGCGATCCGTTCTCGTTATGGTTGAGATTTGAATATAATTAATGCAAATTCGCTGTTCTAACATGTCTCAAGGGATGACTGAATTTGTGATCATGTTTTGATCTATTAATATCTGTTTAAACAAAACTTGTTGATGCACAAAGATGCAACTGCTAAAACTAGTAATATGCATATTTGTTAACAGATAACCATCTAACACATCATGTACAAGAAGTTGTAGAACGAGTGTACGACAGTCCTGATTTGAATCCTATTGAAGAGGTTTACATATAGCTTGCTATCTCATTCAACTATATTTGCGGCGTTCGCAGTAAACAGTCCATGATAATATATTCTTCGTGTGGGAATAAAGATACGCTCGCTGTTGGGCGACCCACACGGCAAGGCTTCACATCACCCGTGTTCCAAAAGGTGCTGAGAGTACGATAGACGATTTTTGAACAAACAAATAGCTGTGCTGCAATTTCGTCGATGATTCTTTCGTAGAACAGTCATCGATAAACCATTCTCCACCTTAAATCATCCGAATATGGTCTTGGCATTTTTTAATCGTTCACCTTGCTATACTCGAACCCGCAATTAACACGCTTGTACAATTCCACGCGTGTTGATGCATAATAATGTCACGTGATCGATATATACATATACTTGCTCAGGACAACCTTTTTGACAACGACAGTATATATATATATATATATATATATATATATATATATATATATATATATATATATATATATATATATATATATATATATATGTATGTATCTTCGCGTACCAACGAGGGTCGGTCGTTGCAGTAACTGTCTCTTTAGTGCATCTTCCTTATACTCCTTCGATAAATTGTTGCTGAGTATAGTGTTTCTCTATTCCCCTTCTCGATATTTGGTTTAGCATGTCTCAATAGCGCTTCAAGGTTGTAGGTGAGTATATGTTCCCGAGAAAGAATATTTTCACGATTGAAATTGTATAAGAAATTTCTGCTTGTTGTTGGCATGCATCGGCAAATGTCCACGTCAAAGATGGTTCATAAAGACCACAGGCAGCCCGGTCACTGCTGTTACGTCATGCTATTATATATGTATATAATTACAATAAGGCTGGCAACTATCTCGCAAAAAATATAATACATACATTAATACCATCGATTAAAACAAAAATACTACGCTAGTTTCTTAAAAAAAAACCAGATACAAAACACCTTGGATATATTGACTATATCTATTTGTCGTTTTTAGACTTGAAAAAAACTCTAAAATGCTCAAATTTTGCGATTTAAAAGTGTATTTTCGTTGAAATTTTGCGAAACAGAGGCGGGATGCAATTTACTCGACAAACGTCATCATCGGAACAATCGTCGGCAAACTTCTGATTGGCTGTGGCAAGTTCGGAAAATAACGAAGATCTTTTTTCTTCATTGAGTTGACCTTTGTAATTTTCCGAACTTGCCACAGCCAATCAGAAGTTTGCCGACGAATTCTCCGATGATGACGTTTGTCGAGTAAATTGCATCCCGCCTCTGTTTCGCAAAATTTCAACGAAAATACACTTTTAAATCGCAAAATTTGAGCATTTTAGAGTTTTTTTCAAGTCTAAAAACGACAAATAGATATAGTCAATATATCCAAGGTGTTTTGTATCTGGTTTTTTTTTAAGAAACTAGCGTAGTATTTTTGTTTTAATCGATGGTATTAATGTATGTATTATATTTTTTGCGAGATAGTTGCCAGCCTTATTGTAATTATATACATATATAATAGCATGACGTAACAGCAGTGACCGGGCTACCTGTGTAAAGACTCTTGCTTTATGCACATCGCATTTTAGAACGCCATGAACTTCATCAATTTCGTGGATGATTTCTGAACGCCATTATTTTCTTTTAGCTGTTGCTATGATACCTGCGACACTGATCTAAAGAATGCACTGAAAAACTGAACCGCATGAGCACCTCCCAGCTTGCCGGCCTGCATTTCTGGCCATGAGAGTTGCCAAGTTAATATAATACACTAATACAATCAGATATCATCTTACGAATCAACTTAAGAATCAAGTGTTTCCACGTCAACATTAATTCCCTCCTTCGAGTAGTTTTCGTATCCAGCAAAAATCAAGAAACAATTCAGGAAAATCTGAACACAGATTTATCAAACCTTGCTGCCTAGTTTTATGAACACAACCTAGTCGTCAGTCTGAAAAAGGGAAAAACTGAATTTATTCTATATGGTACATCCAACAAATTATCTAAAGCAGAGAAAATGGATATCATGGTCCGAAACGAGCCGGTTATGGAGTAGAAACGTATCAACATTTTGGAATAAAGATGGATTATTAGGCTACTTAACCTACGTGGAGCAGAAAGACAAGATGTACAAAGAAGCTATGAGAAGAGTTAAACTTCTATTACGTGTTCGACGTGACGTTAGCCCACTAGTTGCTCAGTCAATCTAGAAAAAGATGATAGAGCCCATCCTCTTATATTGTAATAATTTATTCCTCGGTGATTCGGTTAGCTCAATTGAGAAATTTCAGAAAGTACAAGATAGAGCTTCCAAGATTGTTAATGGTAACAACATCTAAAATCATTGGCCAAGGTTGGAAAATATCCGAAACAGACTTTGTGTAATAGACGTTTTTAAATGTTTGAACAACCTGGCCCCACAGTGTTATGACGGTTATTTCCAAAGGTTCTCCCATGGAAAAGGCGCCCGAGGAGACAACAACAAGTTGTTGCTGCCAAAAGTTAGAACGGAGGCTGCACGAAAACGATTTGCATTCCAAGGTGCAGTTCAATTCAACAAACTTCCAGACACCTTTTCCAAAGAGATATCTTTATTAAGATTCAAGGAACAATGCAAAAAAAATTTTAATTAAATTGGATTTTTAAGTGGCTTACAATATGAACTTGTTTTTAACTATATGTATACATATATAATAGTTTTATTAGTTTTTATCTAACACAGGTCCTTGATTTATAGCAGCTTTAATAGCTGACCAAGTTTAACCTGTCAAAATAAAGTCAATTATTATTATTATTATTATTATTATAATGAATGACAGTTCTTTCAAACTTAAAAATTAGGTCAAAATTCAGTTACATTACAGAACAACACGGTAAACGGAAAATTGTCCTTACTATTTCGCCCTAGGAGAGCACACACCGAATCCACCAAAAAATGGCTTAGCATTCTCGAAAAGGAAAAAGTGCCGGTTCTTGTATGTTTAACTTTCGCTGACAAGCTGTACGCTGAGTTGATGGGGGAGAATGGAGATTGGAATGCAGAGAACGTGAAAGCTGGAGTGGAAAATCAATTTAAGGTATACCGGCCACACACACACACACAAACACACACACACACACATATATATATATATATATATATATATATATATATATATATATATATATATATATATATATATATATCAATATATATATATATATATATATATATATATATATCAATATATATATATATATATATTGTGCATAGCAAACTCACAACATAAATAATAACGTCAACCATGTGTATTTATCTCAATGAAAATTAAGTTTTCGGTGCGTTAAACGCAGAAATCGGTACGAAAAACGCCAAAATAACATATGAATTAATTGTTGTGGTTTCAAATAGGATTATGTTTAAGGCTTTAAGAGAAGCTCCAATAGTTAAAAGGCGCTGAACGAACGTAAAGCCTCATCACTGAACGAGACATTACCAATGGACATATAGTTTTCCTATTTGCTATAGCAATCCGTAGAATAGCGATCTCTTATCGCCCATTGCATAATAGACAAACATTTGATTTAGGCGACAAAAGGGAATTTCAGAAATTTCAGCACAATAATCCTAGTAAAATTGTCAAGTTTGACTGCATGCGAAATATTGTAAAGTACGGAAAATATAGCCATGCGATGTTGGCAAATTTTGTATACTTTCGTATTAGGAAAGAGTATAACTACAATCTTGACCAAAAGTTCATAGCCATAGGACGTCGCACGTTACCGCAATGTCACAATTACAGTGAAAATCTACACTCCTCTTTTTGGCGATCCCCCCTCTCCCCCTTTTCAATGTTGGTCCCTAATGTTTTTATGTAATAATTGTTGCCGGATGTCGTGAAGACGAAAGACCATTGTGCATGCATAAGAACTCAACATTGAATGGGTGGAAAGGGGGTGAACACATAATTGGAGAAAAAAATGCAATGTTTTGGCCAAGATTATGGTTAAACACTTACGCATGTAATACAAAAGTATATTTATGCAAGTGGTCCATTATGCAAGTGGTCCATTGGGCAAACATTTGTAGTAACGGTTCGGCATAATTTATTCACAAGTAAGTTGGCAGGTTGGACGTTCGCTCGGGCTTTGAGGCCCGTTTCATACGCCATAATACACGCAGCAGAGGCCGGTTGTCCCCAGGTGACAAATCAAGTATGAGTTGCAATACTTAATCCTCTATTGCTTTTAGTGTTTCCAGCCATGCATGTCAAAAGCGACGTATGAAACGAGCTTCGTTCGTGAATTAAAATATGGCGAAGTAGTAAATAATTTTGACACGTGTTCTTTTGTGAATGCTAATTAGACTATTAAAGAACAAATTGGTCCAACTAAACACGGACACCAACGAGATTTAAAGCTGACGGTGTTTGCCTTTGACAACGACTCTAAACTGAATACTGAAGAAGGCAAAGAAAAACTTCGCAAAGCTGGTTTGAGTGATGAGTTGGACGTGGGTCGATGGATTGCAGAAAAGTTAGAAGATTGTGGACAAAATGATGTTTCCCAGAATGTGATCAGATTCATCGAAGGGAAAGAAAAAAGTACCTTGAACTCAAATGTTAACAGGGTTAGTATGCGGATTTATGGAATTTCATTATTTTTTTTATAGCTGATTGTTTTAAGTACAAGAGTAGAAAGTAACGCATGGTCCTATTGGTCCATGGTCGCATTCGTTTATATTTGTTAATATACAAAGTGTGCCAAAAAAGGAACCTATTTTCAGTGCGCTATTGCGCATAAATTACTTATGATTTCATTGTTGAATGACATGCTTTTTTGTGCAATATAGAGAAAAAAAACTGATGCGGGTTCGTAATGAAAAATTTTTGTGCACATTTCCACCTTTACGCTAAGCCAAACAAAAAATAATAATTTTTCAGGGGTCATCCATTATAAACAATTTTAGAACAATTACAGTAAATATGCAAAGGCGACAAAGGTGGGTCTTAATTAATTAATGAATGTTCGATTTCAGTTGGGTTTTTTTACAGAATCAGAGATGGAAATATTTTTATTTGCTTATTATTCTTTCGCCACATCGTACAAATGTGTTATTGAACACTGAACAGCGATATCATATCAAACCTATCATATCAAAAAATTGCACGAAAAATTGTAAATTAAAAATCAAGTAATTTGTGCGAAATAGCGCGCTATTTTTGTTTTTCGTACACACTTGTTGTATGGTAAGAGTCTACAGATATTATTCAAAACATTCAACCCTTTATTGCTATCAATGTTTCTAGTTATTTTCTGTTATTCACACGGGAAATTTTCGCCATACTTGGACCCCAGAATTCTATCCATGCAGAGAATGGAATTCTATGGCATGCATGAAATTCTATATAATTCGTTATTGATAACGCCATATTTTAGGCAGGAAATAACGGAACGCTTCTGACCAGTCAAACAACTATAAGACAACACGTACGATGTTCTTCAGCGAACGTTACAACATAAAAGTAAAATCTCCACATATGAAACCACAAAATATTGATAAATGTTTGGTAATTCACCAATATTTCACAACTAGATATATATAATCAAGAAATAGATTACATTGAACTGTTGACTTTTCAGTTATAGATACACGGTATGACGTCATTTGTGATAAGAACAGAAAAAGTAGCCACGAGCTGTCAGGGCGAGACGATGTTTTCTAAGACAGCCAAAATTACTGTTTAAAATGCTATATTTTTTATTCATTGCATGTGGAAAGTTGTTTTTGAAAAGTACTTAAAAACAGCCTTGTGGAAAAAAATAAGTATCTAAAATGCGTTGTACTTTAGGGTGCATTTTTAAAGAGTAGACACAACGTATAGCATGTTTAATTAGCTCATATTTATAATTAAAAGAAGAGGGTACTACATAATTGATTAAGGTGTGCTACCCTTAATATAAGCGTCTGGTTTTATGGCAGTGTATATGTGGATCCTTATTTGTACATAGGCCTATATGCCGCCTATCCCTAACTAGGACTATATAGCCTAATTTTACAGGGATAATTCTTTACTTTTTTCTATTTTTAACATCCCAAGCTTTCACCAGTGGCAGAACCTGCAACTGAAAGAGAAAACGGGTATGTAATTATTCCAATACTTTATGCTTTAGATTTAAAATATTTCGCGGTGCTATAGCTTTAACTCATCTAAATGTTTTAATGTTTCAGTACTTGATCATATATTATTTTATTTTTTACGTTGAATAATGTAGTCGAAAACCTCATATTAATGAGTTTAATTTTGATAAAATGCAAAAATTCAAAATGCTGCTCTTACCAGACTGTTTTAATGTCCATAAGGGATACTTCCTACTGTCACATTTTTTGTACGTAAAAGTTTATATTCGTTAAGTGATACTTTTAAAACCAACGATTGAATAGAGTTGATGATTTTTGTGTGTTTAAAGTTGTAAACTTCTACGTGCGTGTGCGCCCGCACTAAAAAAGTGAAAATAGCGACAGTGGAAATCCACCTCTAAGGCTTTATTAATCCGCCCGAGCTTCAGTAGAAATCATGTCAGGGACCTCTTTTAGCATCTTAGGGACCATTCTATACGGAAATGTGCTAGGCTAGCTAGCCTATTAGTAAACCTAAGAATTTTTTAATCTTCTCCTTGCAATTTCAATATTTTGAAATTCAGCATGACTGCACGCCAGGGACGACGATAACTCTACAGGCAAACATCTCCACGAACTAGTCTGTCTACGTTTACAAATGACCCTTTTTAATTTACAAGTTTCAATGATAGCTGAGAAGTGAGGTTTTTATTAGAAGAATATAAATTAAGGCTTGGCTGACGCTCGAAGTTTTTGTCAATAGCGTAAAATAGCCAGCAAAGGTTTAGTCAATTCACTTGAATTAAAAATTTTCATGACGACAGGCGATTTAATTATGCAAACAACTCTTTGTGCAAAAAAATTGTTCGTAAAATACAAAAAAAAACTAATTCCATATCTAATTCAATTTCCATATCTGATGGCTGATGCAACCATGTCGACGTCTGCATGTCCCACCATACATGCCCCAACCTGGTTTACTTAAGGTACAGGGTTTTCTCTTCTGCAAGCGAAATCACTACAGTACCAATTAAACTAACAACTCCTTATTTTATACTTAACACGGTGCTCCTTATTTTAAAATATTTTTAAGTTAAACTAGTTACAGCATTCAAAATTTAAACAAGGGAACAAAATTATACTGAGAGTACTCAAATTAAATCAGCTGCGATATAGTTTTATTGAACTTTTTTAAATGTTGTCTACGCTGGCTTGACGGAGTAATTTCATAGTTTACAGGGTTGGTTGCACTTGCAGGGTCCTTCTAGATCAGAGTAGGATTTAGCATGCGATAAATTTTTATCGTCGTTCTCCAAAATGATCGTAGCGGTAGTATACTTACTCTATAGACCCTATAAATTCTAACGCTGCTAAAAATACTTACGGAACAACATTTGCATGTGGAAGCGAGGTTCTACATTATTGAAATATACTGTGTACAAACAAATCGTTTCAGGGATGTACAAAGCGTTCAAGGCAGAGAAGGTACTATTGGCCAAAATCCGTCACTGTCTCAATCGGGAAACGAATAGATCAAACGTTTTCGTCTTCAGCGAAATTTTAATATTAACCTTTATCACTGCATGATAATTAATAGAATAATTTTGCATTTCACCTTTCTTGTTAAAAAATCCGCGCTGTACTATTAAACATCACTCTTTTTTCGTGCGATATAAAATATATACAGGGCAATTAACGTGGTTTTTTAATAGCTATATATTAGTCATTGTTGGAAATTATTACATGACTTCAGAGCTATTTTAACTGACCCATAATCTTTTCGATTTGTGATCACATTTTCACCAACACGCAAGGACAATAAGTACAACGCGAGTTTTACGGCAAGTAAGATATTTTATATAACTTGCACCTCAATTTTATTATTCTGTATTATAGCAGTATACTTATAATATTTTAACTCGTAGTAGTGATTAACTTACTACAATTAACGTATAAACTAACAGCGACGCTATCTTGAACTTCATGTTTAACGCAATGCATTTTGGGTGTTCTAGGGTAATTCAGTGAACTCTAAATAGACTGGGACAACAACTTGGCCGCCATCTTTGAGGCCAAATTGAAGGCCGCCATAAAGACTAAGAGTTGAAAGCCCATCGCATCTAAGCATGAGTAAAAGCTTAAAACAAGCAATGACACTTAGATTTTACCACAAAGCAAGTTTCTTGAACGTGAAAAGGTTTAAACCTATTTTTTTTGCTAGTTGAAAGCGAAGTTTTCCGGCGTGTTTAAATTCTTTAAATATTTCAAGTACAAATTAAGCAGGTACCTCGCCCGGTTTTTATAGTTCTATGATGCGGATTATACTATATCTCAGAAAGGATAAATTCAATGTTCAAAGTTGAAGTAGTGGATTGAAAATGCACTTTTCTGGCAAATTTTTGTCCAAAATACAATTTTGTGCGGATTTGCTCGCGCGACTCCGCCATAATCAGCAAATTATATTCACATCGGCTTCATCCAATGACTGGACACGACTTTATTGTGGAGTTATCGTTCCAGTGTTATTTGAGTTCATTGGGGTAATTTAGTTTTTTTAGTTTAGAACTTCGTCAGTGCTGAAAAGGGCGAATTGTCTTATGCCATTCAGTTGACTTAGTGTCCCGGAAAAAAGTACTGCGGTTTGATTCATAATAGCTTCTAAACTGGCTAAGCTATTAAACTGAAATAACTTTCACTAGATTGAGGGAAGACTAACTTAGATTTTGATATATTACAGTTGTATTTTACTTAAAAATTTACGGAGATATCAATGTTCAAAATTGGTAGCATATTTCTGGATGTGTCTAAATTATGCAAAAAACGCCGTATCAAATATTATAATGAAGCTTTTCTCAACTAAAACATGCACTATTATCAGTAAATGATGCGATATGCGACTTTTTTCTTTGGAGATACCTTTAGCAGCAAATTTGGAATGTACCACACGATCAGCAACCGCAGAATTTAGGAGAGCTTCGCAACTCAGTCGTAACAGCATGCCGTGAATCTAGAACAACGAATGATCCATGACTCCTCCTTCGATGCAATGGTCTCACGGGATAGGCAATGCATTCGTGTTGGGGGACGCGCGATTCCGAACGAATAAATCTTCCTTGTTTTCTCTAACTAATAATACTTCGTTTCATAATAAACAATTTGTCAAGTGTCATTTATTTACTGATAATAGTGCATGTTTTAGTTGAGAAAAGCTTGATTATAATATTTGATAGGGCGTTTTTTGCAAAATTTAGACACATCCAGAAATATGCTCCCAATTTTGAACATTGATATCTCCGTAAATTTTTAAGTAAAATACAACTGTAATATATCAAAATCTAAGTTTGTCTTCCCTTTATCTAGTGAAAGTTATTTTAGTTTAATAGCTTATAGCTAGTTTAGAAGTTATTATGAATCAAACCGGAGTACTTTTTTCTGGGACACCCGGTATAATCTTCGTACGTCGCTGACAATACTCGGCAATGCTGGCATATTCGTTTATTTGTCAATGTCTAGAATCGATATGAATTTTCAAATACATGAATTATTTATTATATAACCTACAGTGCGTCTCCTTCAAGATAGCGTCGTTATTAGTGAATGCCATAATTGTTAAATTTTAAAGATGAATGAATGCACTATATAGGCATAAACACATGCACAATAAATATATAGGCATAAACGATTTACTAAGTAACCCACTTTTAGAGCAACACAAAAATTTCTTTATGCACTCTATTCATTATACTCTACGTAATATTACACATATGTACCACCAGTGATAATTTTCGCGTTTACTGCTCGAAATTCTAATCTTTTGAAAAGGCAATATGTACAGGATGTATAAAAAAGACTGCTTTGGAAATCAGATGTTTATAAAAGTTGCCACTAACAATCAAAAGCGTGCATAAACACAATCCATGCTTGAATATATTCCTAAATTGCATTAGTATAATTATTCCAGAAATCGAAATCGTACTTTCAGATTCTAAAATCATATTATTAAGTACTGAAATGTGAGAGCTAATTTCCAATTATGAAACTTGCAATGTATCCAGGATTTTTATACATCTTGTTCGTCTTAAAATATGCGTATGAATTTTTTTATTGGAGTATGGTAGATATACTGTAAACTAGGTTTTGTACGGTTAATATGGTAAAATTATATATCTCACCAATTGCCATCCTTCGTGGTGTAAGTGTTTTCAATCCGAATTCAAAACTAAAATCACTCAAAGAGTGCTGAAATCTTTCCTCAAAAAATCAAATTCTTCAGGGTGCCGTTGTTCAAAGCTAGGCGCTGTTTTGGCGCTTCTGAACCTCTCGAGTACGGACCGCGCGAGATTTGAAAGCACAGAGCCAACGCTAAAATAGGATTTCGGACCGCAAGAAAAAAATGAATCTATTATTTACCAGTTTAGTTGGTCCGTATAGGGAAATATTTCCCTATACCTATACGGACCTCCAATCTGGTAAATAACATATATTCATTATGGAAAAAGTTATTTTACGTTGTAAACAAACAAAACTTGTTGTGAAGAATTGCTTTAATCCAGGGTTAAGTTAACCGGCTTTTGTGCAAGCGGCACCTGATCTCTCCCCACCGTTCCACTACTTTCTCTGCTGAAGGTGCTATAAAAGCGATGGGCGTATTATGAACACTAAGAAGTTTCTTACTAATATATTCTGCAGGCCAGACCGGTCAATATATCAATATTCAAATTACACACTAGTACTATTATGAATTATTTCTCTTACACCGCTTTGTCTTGACAGTACTCTTTGCTATCTGCCATGCTTCATATATCTTGTTTCTTCTCGTTTTATTTTGCACAAAGTTTATGAAACGCTTTTACAAAAAGGTCTACGAAATGACAGTTAAATTGCCGACGTTCTCGTTTAAATAGATACTTTCTCTCTTAGCCAATCAGAACAATCTTGATTAGCAGTGGCTACTCTCGCGCATGCGCATAACTTACAAAACCACCCAACGTCGACCGTCCATGACATAAAATTTGGACAACTTTGGATTCGCTATGTTCTCCCAGGTTCTGGGTGTAATTCCTAATCTCCGTGCGGAATATGGTTTTCTGAGCAACAGCTGTTGATGCCACCATAACAAACTTTGTTTTCTTTACTGCTAAAACTTGTATAGAGGCGATGTTTGCAGGACTGAACCAGAACTTGCATTGTATAGGCAATTGAAAAAGCTTTTCAATATGATCTTATGGGCAGCAACCCATCATCTTTTGCATGCTCACATTTGAAGGTTTCCGGAGAATATAAGCATAGTTGTAGTTGTAGGGTGTTTAATACTAATAACATGAAGATAAATATACAAAAATATAAGATTATAAATCAATCTGTCTCTAAATATGCTAATCATAATAGTATAGGGCGGAACACAACAACAACCATTTACCTCAGACTAATTAAAAGATGCGCTCGAAACAACAAAAAATACCTGAAACAATTAACAAATAAGCAAGCAGAGTCCATATCAAACATGCGGAAAAATCGACAAAAGTTAGAAAGTCATTCATGCATGCATTCATTCATTCATTCACTTCATTTATCAATTCATTAATTAATTAATTCATTCATTCACTCATTCATTCATAACGTGACGTATATTAAAAATTTGAAGTTTAGTAAGCCCTTTGAAACTTGAAAACTCTTGTTCCTGTTGTGATTCGAGGAATAACCGATGATGTCTTTGAGTAACCTTGCTAGGATATCATCAGGTTCGGTGGCTTCGATTGCTTCGCTAGCAGTCAACACTCAACAGTTCTTAGTGCAGGGTCATTCCTTGTATTACTCTGTATTGGATTTGATCTCTCTACTGTCCATTAGTCCCCATTCAGATTTGTTGCTTTTGGGATTAGTTCACCAACATTCTGGACGTAGTTTCTATTTGGTTAGTGGGATTGCGCGTATAACAGATTTTGGTATGAAATCTGGGATAGTACAAGTTTTTTCCTGTGTAATAAATAGGAATTTATAGGATAGATAGCCCAGAACCGCTTAGGGATGTCTTTCAAATTGTCGTTAATCAAAAGATTATCTCGCCATAACCCCGGTATAGCAAATAATCACCTCCGTATCGCAACTTCTTCAAGTTTGCACTAGGAAAGGCTTTCGATCAACCTTTGTCAGAGTTCGAGGGTTTTTAATTTCTTTTGTTCTTGATTAGATAAAGAAAAATTCAGTGTTAATGGTTCCAACGCATAGTTTCTATAGTTTTAACAATAAGCTCCTGAACAATAAATGAGAGATAAAAACAACGTTCAACGCTCCCAAGTCGAAATTGGTTTTATCGGTCTTGGTTGATGCATGGACGCACACAGATCTTTCTCTCCCAAAGCAGCGCTGACCATTTCGTATAGTCAGTCATTGGTGATTCAGATTAAGTTGGGTAAAAAACTCAGTTGAGTGATCCAGAGTCAACATACAGATTACTTCTTTAGTAATCCTGAACTGATCGCACTCTTGTTTTGATTGACTGGTATTCAGTAATCAGGCATTGTTATACATGTACCACAATCTAATACATATACTAATAAATAGTTAAATTCAGTAAAGTACAACTATATATTTAAGGTAAAACTTGCTTGGAAGAGGATCTTCATTTCTTCATTTTTTGTTGTTGTACAGGAAAAAAGTTCTTCAATTTTTGAATGGTGAATTCATAACCAAACCATCAATGTGTAAAGAAAACAACTCACCCATGTGTATTTGTTACATACAGAGTTTCGGTCCGATACCCCGCGGGCCTTTATCAGTGCGCTATAAAGTCCAAAAAGGCCCTGAGAACGAGGTTGAGCGCGATTATCTTTTTAAAAGAAGCTCTGCATATAACACTGAAATTAGTGAAATACACGAGGTGCTACTACAAATTGATATTTGTTTATTTATTTCAAAATTCGTTTCCTTAGATTGGATCAGGTTTTCATTGGTTATAAAACAACCAGTTTTTTTATTTTTTTTTAACCAATGATATAACAATCACAAAATAAAATTGATTAAAGGGAAATTGATCATTGAGACAACTCATTTTAAATTAGTTGTTTTAACAATATCTGTTTTCCCCGAGCCGGTGCGGAGCACCCTGCGAGGCTACTAATTTCGCCCGGAGATTAGAACCGACTGTTTTAGGCTCTACATCATCCCTTTAAGGTGGCTCCCAGGAGTTTTCAGAAAATTGTTGAATACAGGTTTTATTATGTAGATTTAAGCACCAACATTGTAAACTATAAATTGAAATTAGCTTTAACGTATTGAGTATCATGTTCGAAATAAGAAAATATTGATTGCCAACTATAGAATATTATAAAAGCCGTTGCCATGGCAACAATGACGTTTTGATATGGCAACCAATTATCATTAAATTACAAATGTTTTCTTTTTCCAGTGAACGTTTTGCCAGATGGTTAGTAATTGTCAGGACAATTTTAAGAAAAAGTTATCAATACAAAAGTGGAAACATTGTTTTACCCAATTAAAAAAATCTTATCGATAACTTTTTTTTAATATTGTCCGGTCCCAAACTCATCCGGCCACGTGTAAATGTGGTAAGATATTTGTAATAATACAGAATTTTTAAGGTTCTTAATGTACTAGCTTCATTATTTACTATTTCCCAAACTATATATTAGATCATGGATCGAATCTCATGAGAAGTAAGATCTAAACATTGCGGTTGCAGTTACATGCATGTATATCCGATGTCTCTTAATGCGGCGTGACAAAATATATCCGTCAAAATTATTTTTAAAATACTTGCCTTCTTTCACTACAAGATTCTATCAAAAGGCGGTTCAAATCATCTTCCTCGTCAGTAGATAGTCCTTCCTCATCCGAATTGAGATTTTTTTCAGACATAGCAATGCTAGCATTCGAAACGTCGTCAACTGCTTGAGCCATGTCTCGTTTTTGAACGGCATAAATTGCTGCAGGGCTTTGTTGAGGACCCGGAGTCCCGGAACCTCTAATCAAGGATCGAGGGACACGAGTACGCAATATCTGAAACACGGACCCGCGATCAATAAAACCTGGAACGATTTTACCATAGGCAGCCCGCCAGTCCGGTCAATGCATGCGGTACGTCATATTATATACAGTTATATATAATATAACATTTATAGTACACGCGTGCTGATTGGTCGAGAAACGTGTTTCTATAACTATTAGAAACACAGAAATTTTCCGCCGAACCTGACAAGCGAAGCTAGGGCAAATGAGAAACCTTCTAATGACAGCGACCCATCATCCTTTTGATGGTTTGAAAGTTTCCAGAGAATATAACCTTGTAGTTGTAGAGTGTTTAATAAGACTGCCAATGCGCTAAATGGGTGACAGCTAATAGCTATGACCACATATGTAATATAACACTTAGTAGACTTTGAGACTTTGGGAGTATTTGAGACAGTTACGTGTAAGGTTAAGTTGAAAATTTATTGGTTCGAACGCGCGTGAGGAAATCCGCCCTCCAGGTATTTTATTTTAACATTTACTTAACTGTATTACCGCTTGAAAGGATTTATATTTGATATAAGTGATTTAGTTTAGCCAGCTTTCAAAGATGTGTGAATTCATTTGCATTGACATCTATTGTTGTAAAAATTTGGAATGTAATAAAAATCTATAATGGATATATATAATATATAATAATGTATATAATCTTTATTAATATCTGATCTTTTAGAAATTATTACATAAATCGTATCAGTCTCCTTATGAAGGAAATCTCCTTATATAGTTAGAAAGTTAAATAAATATATCAAGGAAATCTCCTTGTGTGTTGCTGTGTCGATCGCAGTATCTACACCATGGCCACCTAATATTTCTTTGGACTTTGTAACTTTGGACTTCACCATACCTTTGTCCACAGCCATATTCTTGTAAGGTTGCATTGGTATAATATCTGGCATCGTTTGATTGATGCAAGGAGTACGTCAACTTTATACGCATACAGTTTATCACCAAGAGTTTTGCTGGTGGTGACCACTAACACCCTAAACATAGTAACCTGTACCTGTCTCTAATGCTTGCGCCAGGCACCACGCAAAAAATGTAAATACCTCTTTTCGTTTTACTTTTTGCCGAACACCGCCGAATTGATTGCAATAACTTAGAACACTATTACGTGTTTCATCGGACTAAAGCGGGAAGCTTGTATGCTTAGGTTCTTTACCAATATCAATGTAATTTAGTCTATCTTAAGATTCCTGTATTTTAGTTGACATCACTTTTATCAACATACAAGTTAGTCGATTGCGCGCGTTTGTTATGTCTCTCGTTTTTGCGTGGTAAAGTTGTTTGTACCATGGCCAACCCAAACTCCTAGCATTAATCAGTCTCGAAATCACCAAGTTCCGAATTGCGAAAGTGGGATTTACACATCCTTTTCTTATTCTTATAGAGAAGTACCCGGAGGGTTATCTTAAGATTCCTGTAGGATGTGTAAATCCCACTTTCGCAATTCGGAACTTTTAGGTCGCCATACGAAGGATGCCATTCATAATAACTTACAGTATAAAGACCAAAGCTCATAATAGCAGCCTTAATAGTGATATGCCGAAATTAGGCCGTGCTTGAAAGGTCGTGAACATGAAAACAAAAATAATAAAATTATGCTTTCCTGTCATTGAATTTCCGATTAATGAATGCACAGAAACAGTGGCGTACGGGAGACGATAATTTGGGGAGCACATATTCATATATTTATGTTAACAGACCTGTAAAGACACTGGTTTAAAACAATTCAAATTATTCTTGAACAACATGAGTATATGAATCTATGCCCCCTCCCCCAATTATCGTCTCACGTACGCCACTGCACAGAAATGTCTCAGTTCTAGTAGATGGCCTTCTTATGATAGTTAGTATAGTTACAAGTATTATAGGTATACAGTTTGTATATATTTGCATATTTTAAAGTTGGATTGAGACTCTATTCATGATTTCGTTAAAAAAAATTCATTTGGTTCGGCAAGTTGAAATCGGCTAAATATAGCTTCGTATTAGTGCCCGGGAAACATCAACGATATTACTGAATATATTAGCACAAAAAATCTTTCTGCAATGATATTTGCAAATGGTGCGGCGCCTCCGTTTACACGCACCTAATCCATACGATTTTCACATTCTTCAGTCAGTTCAGTGTATACCTCACAACCAAGCTTACCTTCCCAAATTTTGGAAGCTTTTTCCAATTGTGCTAATAAATTTCTCTAGTTTTTTGTAAAACACCCTGCGTCCAAAACCATTTCCAGAAGAATCACAAGCAGACGAGATGGAAGGAGGAACAAGCATTTTGACGCTGTTGGTGTGCATAGCATTAACCAAACCCAGCTTTGGGGTCTTTGGGGAAGAAATGTTTAAGAGAGGTAAATTAAAACCAAATTGTAGAAGACGTGATCTTTATGTGTTTAAACCTTGAGACTTATTTTTCTTCCCAGCTTACTTAAGAAACGATTGGCGTTTTATTTATCTTGATTGGCTTTTTTTTTTCTCTGCTGAACTTGCAGAGCACAGTCCAGTCGGTTTTAAAGTTGGGATATCAGATGATGAAATCTTTAAAACGCTGCTGAAAAAAAGTAAGCCACCTTGCAATTCACACCCAATATAATAGATTGTATAAATCTGTTGGTCCCCCATGACATGAACTGCTATAGTTCGCATAGAGAATTTATAAATAATTTTAAGTAATAAGTATCATAAATCTTAAAAGTAATTCCGAAAAATGATAGCATAATACAAATTTTATTCTGCATATTTCGAATCAAGATTTCTGTATGTTTCGAATAAAATTTGTAGTTTACTATCATTTTTTGAAACTACTTTAATTCTATATATATTAAAAATTCATAAAGGGGCACCCCTAAACAAATTATGTTAAAATAGAAGGCCGTAATTAAAGTAGCAATACCAATTACTTTGCATAATTTCGCTATAGTTTTGCAATATGCAAATAGCGGGGATTATAAAATATTGTTTCAAATGAATGTTCAAGGTAATGATTTTGATAGATTTCTCCATGGTTGGCGAGTGCGTACGATTGCAATGAGTTCGTAATAAAAATCGCACAAACAAGCAAGCATGAAGTAATTTGTTTATTTTGTGTGTGTAGCACTGGTGTGTAGCGATCGATTTGACCACGTGATTTGACAACGACGCATTTTTTACTATAAATACAACCAACAAAGAAAATTGAAATTTTATACATCAAAACACCATCATTTATTACCAATGCCTTGAGTTCGGAGAATTATGCCTGAAAATCACTCCTTAATCTTGAAAATCTGGAAAAATTGCTGCCAAAATACCATGCATGATTTCCATAGACACATATACTTTCCAAAGAGTGCTGTAGAAGAGCGGGGGAGGGGCACTTAGGGGCGGAGCCCCCCCTTTTAAATCTCTGTGAAGGCTGAGCTCCCCTAAACCCTTCTACTATCAATAATATTTAAAAAAAATATTAAAGAAAACTTGGCTACATTTTTATTAAGTGGAATCAAAAATTCAATTCCAAAAATTCCTTAATAAATCAATATCTCTTTATGTTCCTATGTTCATCATGGCTAGGCTCAAATCTAAGTACTTCTAGTGCCAGTCTTGTGGAGCTATTTTGATTGGCGCAGCCAGCCAACTAATATTTCATATTAAAGGATGTAATATAATCAATGCGAGTCGATATCTCTTTATTCTTCTATACGAGAAACCTCAGTGACGACTTCTAACGTCACACAATGACGTACCACAGCCCCATCTTCTTTAAGAAAGCCCCCCTCCCCTCTGGTAAATTTAGTTCTACAGCGCTGTTTTCAAAGTCGCTTGGTTGCACCTTATTTTAGGGGTTTCACGAACGTGTCGCGTACGAAAAGAATTCCTCACGGGTCTGACGAAAGAAGAGAAAGCGCACTTTGTAAACACTGTCAAAACTGCAGCCTCTACCGAACCATATAAAACTAGATACGAAAACCTGCTAACTATCCATAAAAGACTTTTTTACCGTGGTATTCACACGCAAAAATATTTTCTACCCTGGCATCGCTGGTTTTTAGTTGAATATGAAAATATTCTACGTGAAATCGACAGCGACATTACCGTTCCGTACTGGGATTGGAGTCTCGTGGCCAACGAAATTTTCGACAATGATTTCTGGGCGACAGACGAGAGTGGTTTTGGTGAAGATGGCGACCCTGCGAAGTCCAGTTGTGTCCAAACGGGTCCTTTTCGAAGGGGCGAGTTTTCGCTAATTCAGTCTGCCGGGGGAGGCTGTCTCACACGCAATTTTAACGGGCGAGTCCAGGACGCTGTTCAAGTTCAGAGACTGCTCAGTTACTCTGCTAAAGAATTTTTTTATTTTGAGGAACAATTACGTGTGGACTTCCACGACAATTTTCATTGCTGCATAGAAGGTACGATGTGTAGCACTGATGCTGCCTCGGCACCAGAGTTCTTCGAGCACCACGGTTTCATTGACAAAATCTGGTCCGACTGGCAGGAGAAGGGAAATGATTACCAGTTCAGTTCGCTTTTCATGGGAATAGATGCGAAAATGCTTGCAACAGCCTATCTACCTCGTGATTATTTGGACCTAAAACATATGCCTGGTGGAGTCTGTGTGAAATATGAGGACCCAAGAAGAGTGGTATTCGAAAACCTGAAAGGTTAGCTTTTAATAAATAAACTGTATTTATGGATACAGTAGTCCCTCGCTAACTCGAACTCCCAAGGGGAAAGAAAAATTGTTCGAGTTACCGGGGGTTCGAGTTAACCGGAGCTGGTGTCAGATTACGTTTATTATATACAAGTAATACAATAAGGTATAAAATCCAATCGAATCATTCATTCTTCAAGAGATATCATGCCTACCAATATGAATGATCACCGAGAGTGGACGACGTTTTAAAATTAAAAAGATCGAAGGATTCCACTTACTTTTGCATGGTTCGTGCAAATTTTTTAGGTTTGTCATTTGAAGAACTTAAAAACATCCCAAGTCAGCCTCTGCCTGAGATCGCGCGTAAGGCGATGGAATTGTTCAATGTACCTCGCAGTGTCGTTGTCAGAGTTTCTAATCTTCGGGAACGATTCCAACCAAACCGAGTCGTACAAAATAGCAAATTGAAAGGTCTCGATGGTGTATTCGGCTTCGAACTCAGTGCCGTCGAAAAGGTCAAAGGTAAGTATACTCCTATATCTTTAATATTTAATTGTGCTTAATAACAAATTTTGCGGAATTTTTGTTTTTCTACTCTGCATGTAAAAACAGATTGTTAAAAGAACAAATTTGAAATTGGTTGCCTCAGATTCGTCTCTTTTTTCATTTTTCATTCTATTTAGTGAAAATAAGCGAAAAAGTAATTGAAAAAATAAGCAATTTTATTCAAATATGTTTCGTATGAGAAATCAGCAACACTGAAGAAAAATGTAGATTTACATGTAAAAGGGCCGAAGCATCCCCCAAATTGACTTTACAGTGTATGCAGCTAATGGTAATGGATTGATATATTCACTCTTATTTTAGCGACAAAGACACGTCTGGAAAGCGACATGGTTGAGTCTAGCAGTGACAGTTCAGAAATAACACAGTAGAATGATTGATTAATTAAGTCAAAGAACGTTAATGATTGACTAATCGATTGGTTAATTGGTATATAATTGATGATATAAAATTGGTTAAGCTAACAGTTAAAGATAACAGGTTAACTCCAGATGCTAATCAAAATAAAGCGTTAAGTCTCGTCATTAAACTTTTGTAGTAGTATGTTATTTTAAAAGTAGGTCCGTTAAGCTAAGCGTACGTGTATCTGTGGATGATATACTCTTGTAGACCAATACCTAAAGTAGCCTAAGCTATTTTCTGCCGCAATTGGAAGACAGCTCTATTATAGGGCTTTTTTCTAGGACTATGTATTTTATTCAATCACACAATTGTTGATAAATAATTCTATATAATGATCATACATCCGAGACTTTTTGTCAGTGTCTACCTTTCTTGCGCCCCTATCAGTGACGGATTTAGCGTTATCTATATATCATGATAGTCAAAATAGATTATAACAGCGCTCATTTGAATATATCTATATATATTTACATTTTAGTATTTAAGATTGGAGATTGATCGAAGATGGACCCTCTTACATTTAATTGTTTATACTTCGAATTCAAGTTAAATCTGTAGATTTTCCTGGGGTAATTAAAGGCTATAAGTACAAATGGTAATAAATTGAGACATACATCCCAAAATAAAAAGTATTAAAAGCAAAGTATAGAACGAATAGCCTTGTTATACTACACTGAATATTCACCAGGTTCGTAGTCTGGATTGAGAGCTAAAGCTGCTCCTCCTGTCGCTCCATTTGCTACGGCTGATCCAAATGTTGCGGCGGCAATTCCCCATCCGACTGGCCCCATTAATGCTAATGATAATCCACCAGCTACTGCCCCAATACCAGCCCCTATCGCCGCTCCTTCGCCAGCGGTGAGAGGACGGTCTTTTGATTGATTGTCACCCATTTTATGTGTTCAGGTTTTATCACAAAAGAGTTCAAATCAAGAATCTAAACTGAATAATGTAAAACGAGCCACAACATGTTATGCAACAAAGCGGAAACCCTGTTGAGCGTATACTGAATTAAAAAATAGATTGAATATCAAGAAACCATTCAGTGGCGCAATCTTCAGAACAAGCGCCGTTTAATCTCCTCTCGGGTGATCCAAGACTCACCTTGCTTTAAATTTCAGTTGAAAGCCGATGTGCACTGAATACTTCTTCGTACCGTATCAAACAGAATAATCATAACTTAGATGCATTTTGCTTTATATAACAGAAGCTAACCAATAAAAAAGCTTCTAAATTTGGGATTACGTCAATATTTGCGGCAGTTCTATAGGGAAATCCCGAGAAAGTGCAGGGGGATTTGCACTCTGTTTCTGAGTACTAACTTTCCTCGAATACGAAATGGGACAACTTCGAAAAAATGAAAACACGTAAGAGTATTATAAATTTATAGATTTTTTTGGCATTGTAAACGCTACACATACATTATGAAGGACCGCATAATAGTAAATTAGTAATAGTATTTCTGATTGATTATCACACAATTCTCAGGTTTCATTTACGGTCAAACCGGATGTTCCCTTGCGAACAACACTGCAATATTGTGACGGAATGTTGCAATTGCAAGTCGCACGCGATTTCGAATTCGAGCCACATATTTAACAAACGATCAGTATTGATATAATATAAAAAATATCGCCAATTGCTGACCTTAGGGGGACGTTATTTAGAGTACAGATTTCATGTTTGAATAATGACTCTGAAGCATAACTACTAAACTACTCAGTTTTGTTGTCTTAATCAATATGCTCAGCAAATTCGACAACTGCAGGCGTAGAAATAGTAGTTTTTTTTCAATCCTGGTTCAGCATGCATGCAGTATTGTTTCCAGAAACTGAAAGATAATATTTTCTTTACCAGTCCCAAATTTGAAAGCGCGCAATCGCAGGCGATGATGCTATTGTTTTGAACTACTTGCCAATACAAGCAAAATTGCAACATTGCGTCACAATATTGCAACATTGCTCGTAAGAGAACATTTATGTGGGCGTCAAGAATGGGTAGGGATAGGCCCTTCTTTTCAATCCCCAAAATGCTGCAGACAGAACAGTAGGAAGTGACAGATTAGATTGCTGGACACAAATCGTTTGTATTTTTAGTAAATACTTAAGACACACCTTCGACTGTGACTTTGTAAATACACACGTCCGCCGTATCAGAAACAGCGATCAAACTGAATGCGTAACTGCTTAAGTATAGAATATACTGACCTTTCCTAAGGTTTTTGTCTGAAGGGTGCGACTTTACACATATCGATTTTGCAAACGCTAAGCGTTTTAAAACTTGATGCAACTCCATGCAATTTTCCAACCATACAATGGCCTATACCAACATTCTCACTTCGCCCACGTCGGCAAATGTTAGTCACAAGACTTCACTTATACTTGCATTCTCATTATAGTCGGTCAAGTCACATGATGATCCCCAAAATCCCGACTCGTTCGCAACACCCAAGACCAAGACCCATACCGGTCTAGGGGATTCGCCTCGAGGGGTAAAATGTTCAAGACTCAGTGGGGAATAGACTTGCTCCAAGTCTCTCTTTCATGGTCTTTCTGTAATAGCACAGATGATGGTCTTTCTGTATCGATCTACTATAGTGTATATAACATGCATATGCGCAACAGAACAAGACAAAAGTCGAAACAAGCTTAGTGAATCAAAAGGAAATATTCTTTATTTTCAAACACACGAGGTAACCACGTGAAACTTTTCGTAACTAAATAAAATCGCTATAATAGAAACAGTCTAATTTGCTGCAAGTTCTTCAGCCAGTTTATCAGCTTTTTGGATGACATCATCAATATCACCAACCATATAGAATGCGGCTTCGGGAAGATGATCGTATTTACCTGAGGGAGGTGAGAAGATGGTAAGTATAATTCTTTGGTGAATGGTATCAGAATAAAACGCATCGCGCTGCTTCACAACGCAAACGCAACGCTTCACATAATACAAAACCCGTGGTCGGAGTGTTCATTGAACATTTGTTTTTACCACCTATATTAACAGATTTTATTCTAAAATGCGTAAACTCACCCTCTAAAATCTGTTTAAAGCTATCGATGGTTTTCTAAAAAGAGGAATACAGTATGCATAAGTATAGAACATTATGGCATTTCCTTGCAAGTAATGTATGAAACGTGAGAACATATCTCTATTCCCGGGTCCTCCGAGCACTCCAAGCCCAGGTATTTTGCCGCCCCGCATGATCCAAACTTCTCGCCGGCATTGGAAACTGTACGCGTAGCGAAACGAACTCACCTCGATGGGTACAAGCTTGCCGATATGACCGGTGAAAACCTCGGCGACCTGGAACGGCTGCGACAAGAATTTCTCGATCTTTCTCGCCCTGGAAACTGTTAGTTTATCGTCTTCAGATAACTCGTCCATACCCAGAATTGCGATGATATCTTGTAATGATTTGTAGTCCTAAAACGCGTTATAGATTAGTATACTGTACACTGCGGCTAGAATGAACCCTCAAGAATACAGCAAAACAGTTAGACCGTTTATGTACAATAGTTCGCTTGCCCACACGGATTTAAATCACGAAATCGCCGCAATAGCTCGAGATGCTTACCTGCAGGATTTTCTGGACTCCACGTGCAATGTTATAATGTTCTGAACCGACAACATTAGGATCCATGATACGTGAACTAGAGTCAAGAGGATCAACGGCAGGGTAGATACCTAACTCTGAAATACCACGAGATAAGACGGTGGTGGCGTCCAAATGGGCGAACGTCGTCGCAGGAGCCGGATCAGTTAAATCGTCAGCAGGTACGAAAATAGCCTGACAGTGAAAAAAAAGAAGAAAATGACACCACAAAATAATTAAATAACAATCTAGGGTGTTGTGATAATTGAAAAACGTTGACCAACTGTTGCATAAACTGGCCTCAGGAGTATGTGTGAACAAAGATTAACACAAACCAGTGATTCAAAGAACATTTCGTCTGTACCCTACATTCTGACAAAATATTTTTCATATACAGAACCCAGAGGATAACAAATACAGTACGGTACCTGTACGGACGTAATAGATCCTTTCCTGGTTGTCGTGATTCTTTCTTGCATAGTACCCATGTCAGTGGCAAGAGTTGGCTGGTAGCCTACAGCTGATGGAATACGACCCAGCAAAGCTGACACCTAAAATGATAGTCGTTGTTAAGAAAATCTAAGAGACTGAACACACCAGAACTGATTCGAGGTAGACCATGTTGGTATTGAGTGGAACCCAGAATCTTGTCTTTGAGGGAAGGTAACATTGTTATCCACGATCACAAGAAGTACATACTGTACAACTTTGGAGATGTTTCACAATTTTTTCGTTACCACATCTGAATAAGGGCACACGTGCAAGATAATAAAGCAAGTTTGCACTATCAAAGTTTGTGTCAGGCTTTGATCACAGTATGTATTTGAAAACGTAAAAAACTTTCGAAGACGTTGGGGGCTTTGAAGACTCTGAACGCAGAAAACAGAAACTATAGTAGTGCAAACCTAGCCATCTGCACATATTTTTACCTCGGAACCAGCTTGAGTGAAACGGAAAATATTATCAATGAAAAGCAGCACATCCTGTCCTTCTTGATCACGGAAGTATTCAGCAACGGTTAAACCAGTCAATGCTACACGAGCACGAGCTCCAGGTGGCTCGTTCATTTGTCCGTATACAAGCGCTACCTGCAAATGAAGCCAAAACCAAAATTACGACAAATTTTACAAAATAGGCAGTATCAGAGTAACATTCCAAACGTTGCCGATCATGTTCATCGGCAATCACGACTTTTTGTCGACCATATACTTGTAAAAGCCAAAATCAAAGACTTGTTTCGAAAAGTTTCGAACACTTAGAACCTTCAGTAACGTTTTGAGCGTTTTCAGCTTTTGTTTTATGACAAAACGATGGTAACCGATGAACTGGTACCCGCTTTTTTACCGAAACTTTACCTTCGAGGATTTATCTTTAAGATTAATAACACCAGACTCGATCATTTCATGATACAAATCATTTCCTTCTCTCGTTCTCTCACCAACACCGGCAAACACGGAATAACCACCATGCGCTTTGGCAACGTTGTTAATCAGCTCCATAATGAGCACGGTTTTCCCCACACCAGCTCCTCCGAAAAGACCTTTTAAACACAATGCAATCGCAATCAGTACGAACTGTAACGATCAGAAATTGGCTAATAACAAAACAACCGACATGCGTGGACATTTTGACAGTCCAAATACAAGAGGCCTCATTATATTTCATTCCAATTCATTAAGACAAAAAAGTGTTAACTGAAATAGTTTTATTTCGTTTGCAGGGCAAGCTTGAAGTAGCTACTAGAAACTGGCAACATGCAACGTATTTTTAACCGCAAAATTTAACGCGACTGTCTCCATACCGATTTTTCCACCTTTAGCATATGGTGCCAAAAGGTCAACAACCTTAATACCAGTAACCAATATTTCTTGCTCTGTGCTCATTTCTACGAATTCTGGTGCTTCGGCGTGAATAGCTGATCGTCTAAAGAATGTTGAAAGTGGATAATTTAAAAAAACATCTGTGCAAAATCGAGCAGTGTATATTTAGAGCATACGTCATAGTCACAGTGCAATAAGAGAACAAATGTTTTTAATGTTTGTGAATAATTCGTAGGCGAGACAAAATTTACGGACATTTTTTTGGACTTTTTAATGTTTGTGAATGATTCGTAGGCAGGAATTATGCGGGTAAGTAGATAATACATACAAGTCAGTAGGAACAGGTCCGCGTTCATCAATAGGCTCTCCGATGACGTTGATGATTCTGCCCAGTGTTTCGGGGCCAACAGGAATGGTAATTGGTCCACCAGTATCAACACACTCTTGGCCACGAATCAATCCTTCTGTACCATCCATAGCGATAGTACGAACAGTGTTTTCACCTGGAACAATAAAACTATATATTTAAAACATTCAGAAGCAATGATTCAAAAGCAGGCCAGAGCTAGACATACAACTGTATTGTACATTTCGTCAGCAAAACATGTTCCCAATGTGCATGTAGACTACCCTTTATTTACTGTATCCATTAAAATGCAAAGGGCATATTAAAGAGCTGAAAAGGGCGTATTAAAATTAGTAGAAATACAAAGTTTGTTTGCGAAATGTTGTAAATGCGAAAAATATAGCCTAGCAAAAATGGCAAACATGTATACTTTTTTACTATGCATGGAGATTGTTACCACATTCAGGCAAAATGGTAATGATTTCCATAGTACAAAAGCATACAAAATTGGCCAACTTAGCAAGACCTGCACGGTATATTTTCCACCTCTTGCAAAATTTTGCAACCAAACTTTACATTTCTACTAATTTTATGCTCTTTACAGCTATGGTGATTTGATTGTATTTTCTTTCATAGATCAAAAAGTAAATACAGTAGTAGTCTATAACGCTATAATTTAGGTCAGCTCATCATTTAACACTCCAGGCCAGTTGAACACTCTCAACCAAAGCAGTTTCGGTAATTTTTCTTACCTAAATGTTGTGCTACTTCTAGAACCAGTCTAGTTGATCTTCCTTGCACCTCTAAGGCATTCAGGATTGGTGGAAGCTCATCATCAAACTGCACATCAACAACAGCACCAATTACTGCTGTGATTCTACCAGGGGTGACTTTATTAACAGCTGCAGCTTTTGCAGCTTCTTTTGCAGCATCATTCTTGTTTGTTGAAACAAATCTTTTCTCTGAAAGTCAGATAAATACAACTATAACTGCATTGCCTAGTCGAACATGCACAGCAGTCACATGCGACTTGATGAGAATTGACCAGACCAGAACCAAGCACATAAACTTTTTGTTAAGACCTATTCCTAGGGATCAAATTAGACTACTCTGTTCTGGTAGAAATTTGTAATTATTACAGTCAGGTGGGGCTGTCTAAGTTCGGAATTTCATATCAAACTTCTGAATTTGAAATCGAACTTTGCAGGCAATTTGAATCGCTATAAAATCGCCACTATAAAATACCAGGCAAAGCAATTTCATGCAAAGAAATATTATTATTCAATTATACAACTCAGGTTTATCTATGTCAGAAATTGCCAGAAGATTGGTGCTAACAAAAGCCACTGTTTATAATACTGTCATTACATCTATTGACAACAATTGAATGGAGCCGAAAACTGGGGGAAATTAAGTACGGACGGCAAGAACTGAAAACAAATTTTTTTTTTTTGCATGAAATTGCTGTGCTCTGATATTTTAGTGGCCATTTTAAAGTGATTCAAATTTCCGAAGTTCAAATTGAACTTTGGAACTTTGTTGAGAATTACAAAACGGAAGTGACAACTTTCCCACCCACTTGACAGCTTCCACACATAGTTTGCAACTGGAGTGTAAAACGTTTTCTGAAATTAACTGTAAATCAAAAATGTAAAGCAAAAGGACAATAGTAAATTGGCAAAAACAATGAAAGTCATACGATGTTTTTTTGCCTGGTTCTTATGCTATCTTAGATTTATCTTACAGGTTTCACCATTACTACCATGTGTATTGGCAATCTGGTCCTATTATATATTGCTAGGAACCACCAAAATTGGTCACTAGAGGACTGGGACATAATATTGTTGACTACTAAATACTTGTCATGTGTTCCTTTATCATACCAACCCTAACAATGCTGATGTCATTAACAACAGATGCATGTGGTTTAACAAGATCACTCCTTGAACAATTAAGCTGAACTTTGTACAAGTGTAAAAAAAGTACAATTTCATCAATTTGCAATTCTGCAAAGATTATTTTAAAAGAATAAATGTAACTGAAATACGCATGAAGACACTACAAAAAGCATACCTTCACTCCTTTTAAAAAAAAAATTATAAGTTACTATTTTAAAAGTAAAATCTGTGCATATCACAAATTTAAATACGAAGTAGGAATTTCATTTATTCTTCAGATTATATATAATAAAATTTCGCTATATTGATGGCTTACAAGCCATTAAAACGTACTGCTGGAATACCAGGTTAAATCTGTTTTCTCATAATCTCACGTCCCTATAAAAGCACCAGGCTAAAACATTATACCGGTACAGTGAATGCAACATGTGGAACTGGGAATTGAGAAATTTCTATATATTTCGGCCATTTTAACATTGAAATTTTACAGGTAAGCAAATGCTGGAAACGCTGCATAGAAAACACTTACCGAGATTGAAGCATCCTGGTACTATTCTCTTCTGCAAATGTCGACTATACTGTGGATAAATTGCTTTATTTGACGCCGCTTTCACGACTCTCCGAAACGTGTGAGCCAACATGGCGGTTGCGAACGAGAGAGAAGACGCTTTGCTGGGGGCATATATTGCCTAACGGCGACGAGCGATTATTTGCCGAGCTTTCTCGAGATTAGAACGAAACAGTTCCGAACTTCTCCGAATCGTAAAAATGCAAAAAAATGCAAATGGCGAGAAGACGGGAGTGGGGTTCCAGATTTCGGATGCCCATTATACTGCGATGACCAGACTTTGGTATTTTTTTTATATTGTATACAAATTTATCTGACATTTACATATTATATTGCTTTATAAAAGCTGCCGCCATTGCCTTTTGAATTACAGATAAACAAATACAATATACAACAAGTATGTTGAAATGAAGGCCCTTCTCCAAAGAAAAGGGTATAATACATTTTCTCTCTGTAATTTTGTATACATTTTTTGTATACAGGAGGACAACGTGGCATGCGAGTGAAATTCCGTACGCGCATTATAATTCTATTAATTGGCATTATCGTGTTTACGGTTTGTCTCATTGTTGGACCTCCAAACTCGAGATGGTTAATAGGTTGTTCTGATGAAACGCTTTGCTCAGACGAAGGAGAACATGGACTTGAAAAACACCAAATTAGGGATCCAAACGCCGGACTTATGATTGGAATGATAAAAGACACGGCAGACCAAAACATGAGAGATGAGGGGTACAGCAAGCATGCGTTTAATGATCTTATAAGCAGACGGATTGGTAGTCACAGAGCAATTCCAGATACAAGGCATGAAAGGTACATACTCAAAATTGAAATTTAGATGTCATGCTTCAGATCCCAGGTCTTTTTAGGCAACAAATAATAAGTTAAGTGTCCAATTGTACGTGTCACAGGTCTGAAAGTTATATAATTATTGCGTGATTGTATTTTTAGTGAAGGAATTTTGTTTCATGATTTCCAAATTCACTCTTACCAATTTTTTCGTATGCACAAGTCTCAGCCTTCATGAAGTTATGCGAGCACTATTTTTCTAACCTTTTTTCATAAGTAATCAAGCCTTGCTGTAGGTGTACCATATTTCGTATTATTTTAATATAATATTTGATTGGTTCCTGTAATATTAATTGGTTCCTGTAATATTTCCCTACTGCATGTATAATTTGGAGCATTTACCATGATTCAAGTATTGTATTCTCTGTCTATGGCTCACTAATATAATAATATATTTCTTTAATTTTGTTCACATTTTCCAAAGGTTTGCAGCTGCAAAAAAACCTGGGGTTTGGAGGGCTGGTCAAACTGCAGCCCTTGTAATAATTTTTGCAACATTTTTTTAAAATTTAAACACTATTTCCTCATCCCTCAACCACAAAAAATGTATATATTTCTATATATTTTGTCTATCAGAGAATATATGTCTTTATTTTTAGCTACCTGCCCTTCTGCATAACAAAATTAATTATATGCTACTGTTAAAGAAATATGACTATCTTTTTTTGTATAATGAATAGCACAAATTGCATTGCACATGTGAAAGAGGTCGATTTCCAATGTGAAACATATAGAAACATAGCTGTTGTTATGACCTACACCATGCCCCCTCCCTAGCTTCCCCACATCCCTTGAAACAAAGTCACTTAATTATATTTGCATTTTCAGCCCCTCCTTCCAATCATAATTTGCATCCAATGGCCCTAGCTGTTGGGCATGTATGAATGTTAAGGAATAACACTGCATATTAGCCAACCAGAAGAAGTTGCAATATCAAATCTTGTTCATATTACGATTTTGCAGAGACATAAAATATTGGAGTAAATTCAACTTGCAAGTACTTTTTCTTTTCAGTTGCAAGAAATTGACTTATTCTGATAATCTTCCAACTGCAAGCGTTATAATTTGCTTTCATAATGAAGCTTGGTCTACATTGTTACGTACGATACATAGTGTTTTGGAAAGAACACCAGATCATTTGTTACAGGAAATAATCTTGATGGATGACTTCAGCACAGAAGGTACATGCATGGAAAAACCTTTTGCAAAGAATGTATTAGCTAAGCAGTGCAGTAAATATTTTAGAATAAAATATATTTAGTTTGGGAATTCATGCAGGCATATTCAAGTTTTATCTGATTTTGTTTCTGTTATGGATGTGCATATCACAATCATTGTGTCTATGAATGAGTCCAGGTTTACTGCTATAGATTTACTAGGTTACCAGGGCGAGAGTTTACTAATTGTTGGATGAGTAGGGTTTACTGTAGGAAACCAGATTACTGATTCCTAGAGTTTATGTTATAGGGTTTACTAGACTTCTATAAGAAGGGACTTCTAGAAATAGGGCTTCAAGTTTTAGCTATGTAATAATTAATGAAAATAGCTTCCTGTATTGGTGACAATTTAGTCTTCTTCAACTGTTAAATTTGATTCCTGTGATCCTCAAGATCCTCAAGATATTTTTTTAGCGAACTGCTATGTTTGTAAATATGCAGAGTAGCACCATCACAATTATATTACTTCAGATGACTGACATGAGTCATTTGCACAATCACTATATATAACTGGTGTTTGAAATATTTTATCACAGTTAGATCAGACATCCGTCAGATTGTCAGACTGTATAGAACTTAGCTGTAAGCCTTATTACTCGGGCTACCGTGGGTAGAGAATCGAAAATCGAAATCGTTCTAGGGGGCTAGGAGCGTTTCTCCCGCGGGTGTCACGAATATGCCATAACACCAAAAATTAGGCGTGACAAGCTCAAGCCAGATAACTGTAGCCCGAGTGAACGCCTGAGCAGGCGTCTTGTTGAGGTGACTTTGACAAATGAGGTCTGGTCAATATCTTTACTTTCAATATCAATATATGGACATTTTTGTTTGAAAGAATTTCCAAATATAATTGACTACAAAATTTAACTTTTCAGTGGGAGAGTTGCATGACTTTAGCGTTTGTAAATTTTCCCGGGGAAAGCACAGTTAAGCACTGGTTATATATACCTCCTCTTTAATAATTATTCCAATCTATTGAGTGTATTCAATAATATAACGTATTCCCGTTCAGAACACTTAAGAGGGAGATTGAAAGATTACACGAAGAACTACAGTAAAATCTCGATCCTTCGCGCTGTTAAAAGGGAAGGTCTCATTCGAGGCCGTTCTCTCGGGGCTTCTGTTGCAAAAGGCGATGGTCCTCGTGTTTCTGGACAGCCATTGCGAAGTGAATGTCGACTGGTTGCCCCCGTTGCTGGAGGAAATATTGAGAAAACGGGACACTGTTGTTTGTCCGATAATCGACATCGTTAACCCCGACACGTTCCAATATGCCGCTTCACCTTTGGTCAAAGGTGGCTTCAACTGGGGCTGCATTTTCAGTGGGAACCAGTTGACCAATCAACGTTCGTTTCGGAAGAGGATTTCACAAACCTATCAGGTAGAGTACATTCCTATAAAGTTTATAAAGAAATTTTTGTATATTTTCGTATATCACTTGCTATATATCGTCATCGATATATAAAATTCGCAATCATTATCAGATCACCGACCATGGCAGGCGGGCTGTTTGCAATTGATAGAAAATATTTCAGAACCCTTGGAGGATATGATGATGGCATGGAAATTTGGGGCGGAGAAAATCTTGAAATTTCGTTTCGTGTGAGTAAGATTGACAAACTAACCACTCGATTTTTGATTTTGCCTAAGGCAAGACGGTCAGCCGTTTTCACAACAACATTGAGCCAAAATACTGTTTCTACGTCTGGGAAGTCCAGCCAGTACCACAGTTTTGAAAGTAACAGCTTAGATTAGGTGAAAGTGGGGAGATATAGTCGTGTGAGGTTTGCAAATTTCCTATAAAAAATTAGTATTGTAAGCTGCTAGCCTTGTTTACATGCACGAGTTTCAATGTAAACTGATCAAAGATGCTGTTTTAACCATAGCCAGCCCAGAAATGTGTTCGTTCTTGTGGCGCTCGCACGAATGTAGTCAAACATTCGGGAGAATGTAGTCAAATTACCGGCGTTTAAACCGATGTTATTTTAAATATTATTTTCATTTGTAATTTGCAAGATATTCGGGCCGTAGTAAACGTTGTAGTATATTTTAGTAAAAATACTTGCCAACCTTATCCTAATAATAGACCGAGTAGACTCACGTACACGTGCAAACGCCACGAGAACATTTCTGGGCTGCCTATGTTTTAACATATGGTTTTAACCTATAGTGTTGCTTATATCACAATTTAGCCAGAACTACTTGGCTTCAACACGAAGGCAACTCTGTTCCGCTCTTAAGGATAATAGGGATCGCATGTAGGACGGTAACATGACAAGCGTATGCGCCTGAAGTCCGTAATTTCTCTGAGTGCAAGCCACGCAGACTTACCGAAAATCTGCATTTGTTCACAGATCTGGATGTGTGGTGGTCAACTGAAAATCATCCCGTGTTCACGCATTGGTCACGTGTTCCGACAGCGCCGACCGTATGGGCCGAACGGCAAAGGAGACACGATGTCATTCAACTCAATGCGTGTTGCCGAGGTATGGATGGACGAATACAAGAAACATTTTTATGAAACGAGACGCCATTTAAAAGGCAACGATTTTGGCGATGTAAGTGCGAGGCAGGACCTACGACGGGCGCTCCAATGCCGCTCATTCAAATGGTACTTGTACAATGTCTACACTGAGTTAGATGTACCTTCTGAACGCAAAGGAAGCAGTCTGATATGGCGTCGACCCATCGCAAAGAAAACCGTGGTCGTCGCAAATGGCAGGGTAGGTGATTTTTGTGGGATATAAGATGCATCGTGCTAACTATAAGGGGCTGATGTATGGAACATTTCGAACCGATTCGATTGTGCATGAAAACATTACCATTAAAAACAGGGTTGTATGTTCTTTTGTAATCTAATGTGCAGGGTTTCACATATTATAATGGCACCATTTTAAAAATAGATGCGATTTAATTGTTGTGGTAATCATAAGATTTTAAAGCACCCGTAATTTACGAATTCATTTCATGTGGGAATTTAGCGGTGTCGTAATTTGCTAACCCCTTTAACACTCTCGTTTTTACCAAAGCTCGCCAACTTTCTTGGAAGTTGTTTGGATACGTCTACGGAGTCAGTGGGAAACGACGCCGATCTCATTCTTCGCCCTTGTCGTGCTGTTCGTATCAAGGTATTTGATTTTATATATGTCTAGTTTACATGCTACTGGAGAATTCTCAGGATTTTTGAATGGGGATAATTTATAGCTCCGAAAAAAGTTTTAGTTCCAGTTGTAGTAAATCTTAAAAGCACGATTTTAATCCTTGAGATTTGGTTAGGATTAGAGTTAGATTGAGGATTAGGGCTAAACCTAACCAACCACGAATCTAAAAACCCACAAATCCTAAAACACGATTTTAATCCTTGAGATTTGGTTAGGATTAGGGATTATATTGAGGTTTAGGGCTAAACCTAATCAACGACGAACCTAATTTAAGACTATAAGACTTAGGATTAGGATTTAGGCTTATATACATTAACGCATAATACAGATTTTTTGTTTATCTGTAGAACTCATGGACTTTCGACGATGCCCAGCAATTAAAATTGCGCCTGAAATACTGTCTTGATGTGAGAAAATTTAACTTCCCGAAGCTTAGTAAATGTCACGAAGACGGTGGCACTCAACAGTGGATATACACCAAGGTAGTGGTGACTATATATAGAATGATGTAATGCAAATTTGTTGCCGACAAAATTTACGTGCATTGTTGAGATACCCCTGGAATAAAACAAAATTGAAATTCAAGCCCCTGCACTCAATTTATTGGCAAATGGCACGGCACGACTAAATTTGCTGCCCGTACGCAATTATATTAGTGTTCAGGCTACCAATACAAAGGCCCAGCACGGATGGAATTGGTACGGGTACCCGCCAGCCGTGCCGTGCCGACAAATTGAGTGTAGTGAAAGGGGCTCTAATAACTGGTTACTGGAATACTGGTATAGTAGATGACTGGAGACGAATCTATGGAGTTTTGAGTTTTTTACAAACTATCCTAAGGGGTCACTTCTCTTCGACAAATGCGTTTGTTATTTCACCGCGTAACAGTTCAGTTATCATTTTATGTTTTTTCAACTCCTAAGGAAACGAGAGCTCTTTATCATCCGGCAAGTGGGACATGTCTGTCGCAATCTCCAACAAACAATGCAGTTATGGCAATTTGTAATGAGTCGGATTTATCACAAAGATGGGTGTTCCTCGACACGTAGTCCCTAAATATTGCTCTTGGATACATCGAGATACAGTCAGATATATGTACGCTTGTCGAGTCTGCTTGTTATACGAAACATCATAGTTAGAGGTCATATGATTCAAGTGTATGAAATCAATTTAATATTGTGATGGTGCTACTCTGAGTTACTAACCTGGCAAGCTGAATTGTTGAAAAATTACCTTGACCACGTTAGGAATCGAACTTGCGACCTTTGGTTTGCTAGCTCTGACGCACACTGGTGAACTTTGCTCGCACACATTTTACTGGTGACAATTGTCAACTATCTTCCAAGTCTGCGGGAACTATATCGAGATATTTTGTTATTCGTGCTCAATTTTGCGACACGAATGACAGAATATCTCAAATTATCCCTCCAGGCTAGGAACATGTGTAGGCGACAATTGTCAGAGTGAACACATGTACGACGACTGAACGACGGAGGTCGTTTTCAGTGATTTTGCATGCCAACGAATTCCAGAAAATAATTTCTGCGGTTTTTGTGTTGGTTGGCCCTAATTTATATTACTCGCGTGCATGGGACAAGTCGACCACTTGTTTAATAATTACTGTAAAGTTTATTTAACCATTGGTGCTGTGTATTTGAAATATGATTGGTTCATTCGTAGTCACATGACTTTAAATAAATGCAATGTTTCCCGCTAGGGAAATAAGTGAAAAATTGTTGCCCGCATATTGTCATAACAAAGTTTTTTGAAATGAAATTGTCGTGTAACATGTGTTTCTGTTCCATATAACAAAACACTTAATTTTCGCTACACCTGGGGAAATAGTGAGTTTTGTTTTCCCTCGAGTCTCAATGTTTCTCAATGAGGTGATGAATGAAAACGGAGATGGTTATTTGAGAAAGGCGATCTGAAAGATCAGAAAATTTTAAATGTAAAATAATTTTAGTCGCGTCGATTGCAAATCAAACAATAGATAATATACCTTATTTATTTAATTATCATCTCATTACCTATTGTTTGGATTGCATTTGACGCCACCAAGATGCGACGTATAAACTAGATCCTGGACTTACGTATTGAATTTCTTTGAGGCCCTTTCAGACGTCGAACTTTTCAACTGCCGAATCTAATGCAGAGTTTAGCTCATCAACATTAGGTTCGTAAGTCTAAAACGGACATGAGACGACCTTTTTCTTTGTCTGTCACTTCGACAAAACTAACTGCCGTCATTTTAAAAAAAAAATACAATTCTTTCGTAATAATCCGAGGTCGATTAAGAAATCAAATCAGTGGCCAAAAGGATGAAATTCTTGGCTTCATCGCAAAAAATCAACCATTTTCTGGAATAATATAGTGACACTTTTGATAAAAGAGCATGCACCATAGAAGATTTTAAAAAATGCTACATACTTTTTCATATACATATATATATTTCACACAATTAACAAATAAAAAGTAAATACATCTTTTGCGTGCACACTGAATTAATAAAAATAATGAGGTTCTTCACTAAAATTTTATCAAATGTAACTATGTCTCTGACTGTTTACAGTCTGCGAAATTCTGTACAGATCCTCCTGATGTGGGGCTGCGATCTAAGCTATGCTTAAATAGAGCTGGGTTTTTTAAGACTCTAGCCTAGGCAAGCAAAGCATAGCCAGTTTTAATTAATTATTATAATCCGCAAAAATACTTGATTTACTAACTACTGACATCACCATGCAAGTGGCATTCAAGTTGTTTGCACTTACGCTTAGCTGTATATATACGATTATATACAGTCGATTTCGCAAAACGTTGTCAAAATATTCTAAATTAAGATCCCGAATGGGTCTTTGAGCCTGTTTACAGTTGCAATTTTTGCTGCGTTTTCTGGTGCGATTTCACTTTGTTCGTAGCGAGAGAAGAATAGGTTAAATGACCGAACACGTGAGGATGATAAATTGTGCATAAATTTCCAAGAACGCGAACTGAATAATAAAACAGTCAATGCTACCTCCTCCTTCCTCTATCTACCTGTATACGTTCTTAACATTTTCACTCTCTTGCATCAGTCAAAAAGAGAAAATCGCGGCGGAAACAGCTTCCGTAAACCGACAATTAGATTTGTGCTGGTAAGTGCAAAATGTCCACTATTCCCTTATATATATAAGAGTGACCCAAGGCTCATTGTTGGGCTCAAGTTGGCCCTAATTAACAAAACTAGCTAAAGTTGAACTAACTATCTAAGACGCTTGTCACATGACAAGCCTTTTTCTTTTGTACTCTCCTCAAAGAGTTGAGAGCGAAAATGTATTTTCCCTTAATTTATTCCAATCGTGCCACCTTGTTGATATATTCAATCTTCAATTGCCTCTTTTGAGATAGCATCACTTGACCATGAAATCCTCACTTGTCGCACTGATTACACCTATGATGGAGGTCAAAACATTAAGGACGAGTATTGCAAGTAAATTTGAGCTTGCCACGACTCTGGAGACAAGCAATGGTTGGTTAACAGCCATCAGCCTGGCCAAAGCGCGTCAAATTGTCTCTTAATACAGCAGGCTCAATTTATCGGCAGATTTTCACTGAACTACAGTTTTTAGCTACAAGAGTAAATTCTGTTCAAGACAAGGGCTGACAATATGAATCTGAACAATAGGGAGAATTTCCCAAATTTGGACCAACATGAAAAGCATACAAAGACGAAATGTATCACTCTTCAAAATTCTGTTGAATGTAATTTTTAAAATGTAATTAGGCTCAAAGAGCTGTCGCTACAAAATAGTAATCCAGAATCGCTCATTGAAAAACTTATTCTTCTAATTCTTCAAGACTAAAGTGCCCAAGAATATTCATGAAACAAGGCATTGAGAAATTAATTTGATAACAATTATACTATGTAATGTTATGACCAGACGACAGTATCTCTGCCCATATATGTATGTACCTGGAGGATGTAAGACCAGCACTTGAAGAAGGTCAGACAATGACATGACACCAACAACCTGATCTTCTTTGTCGACCACGACAAGACGATGAACCTAAAATTCAAATCAGAACTGAATAAAAATTTCATTGAAAACCAAATAGATACAATCCACACGACATGAAAATATGCCGACTAACAAATTGTATTCAATGCCTTCAATTAAACACATTATTCGCTGCATTACTTTTTTTTCTTCAGTAAATTCACTTTCGAATACGCTAGGCCACTCAGTTAACCCGAATACCTCACTCAAAATTTTAATTAGTAGAAAATAGAAATTCCATGAGTAATAAACTATAGAGGCAGAGCATATGTCTCACTAGCAGCCTCTCGATGCATGTTCTCAACGTTTAAAAGACTAATAATTTATTCTTGTAACCCTATGTTGTAACCATAGATTTTTATGGTTGTAACTTACGCCTGCTTTGACAATTCTTTCGACCACGACGTGTAACGGCTCGTTCAGTCGACATCGGTGAACACCTTCGAATCCCTTGATATTTGAATTAAGGTAGAAAAAAAGTTAGTACTACAGCTCTTAGCAAATGTTATTTCAAAACAGTCCACATGCACACGAGTTACGAAACCCAAGACAAAACAAAAAGGAAGGGTTTTTAAAATGAGACGATAAATAGAAATCCAAGAATAGTGAAAGTTCAAGCATTAATGTTAGTTCATTTGACCGAAGCTGGATGTTTTGAAGTAAATTAATTGTTGGGACCGTTTAATCCTCTCGACTTTAATATCGATATACTGTACAATAAGTGGTTGAAGTGTAACTACAGGGAAGCATACATGTATATGCTGCTGCAGCGTGTATAAGGCTATTAATACGTTCACACGGGACTATACGAACCGTGCTAAAAATACTCAGGTGTTCACCCGGTTCTATGGTTGGTGTGTGTATAAGGCATACGTGTATAGGCTATCGTTCACACGGGACTATGCGAACCGTTCTAGTATTCGAGCGTTCACCCGGTTCCAATCGTCCTATGTGTTCACCAAGGAAGCCGAATTTTGTTTCAATTTTCAACATAATCTCTTTTTAATAGGAAGTCATACAATGGAAGTATACATGCTATACTGTTTCCACACTATTCCATAGTGTGGAAATGCAATTAATAGTATGAATATTATAAACTTCCATCAGGAACGTAGCTAGATCGCCTAATTTGTTATTTATTCAGCTTTTTACATACCGTAGAAAACAGCGTACAACGCACCCCCTAATTAAACTTCTAGCTACGGCCCTGACTTCCATACTATTTCCAACTAGCCATCCATGTCTTTCCCATATGGATTTTGAAAAAATTCCGTGATTACTTTTTTGATAACCCTGTAGATGGTTTACAAAGTAGCAAATAAGGAGTATAAATATTCCGGCCAATTCCAGCAAAAGATTCATTCTAAAAGGAGCAAATATACCAACCTCAGCCCTGTGTTTTAACGCTTCAATAACTGGACGTCCAAGTTGTTGTAACTTTTCCGCGCCAAATCTGCATATAAATTAAGAAAACGATTACTTCCTTAGATTTTTATGAGTCTCAATATCACATAACTATGTTTTTAATTATAGGAACGAAAACCCACTTACTTACTAAAAAAAATCGTGCGTATATCCACGACGACGCCTAATAAAAAAGTATAAAAACCTGATAAACACATGCACGCATGCCATACAATCTATGAATGTTCGGAGCAATTATAAAATACCTGCATGGCTTTTAACAGTGAGACTCTTAACAGTGAATTCCATATAGAACTACCTTACCATGTTATATGGTATACTTGATTCACAGAACAAAAATAAACATTATTTTTTTAAGAAAAGGGCAGTCCTATACACTAAAATTGATCCTCTAACAAATCTTTATATAATCTATTGGCGTGGGGCCAGTTGTATGAAAGCCGGATGGCTTTCAATTGAAGAGGATTTCAATTTAGGAATACTAAGGTTTAATCAAAGTTTCAGCCAACAACGGGCGATTTTAGAGCGATTGAAAAATCCACTATCCGGTGGATAGGGCTATCCGGCTTTCATACAACCGGCCCCAGGTGTTTATAATAATGGACCCTTTCGATGATTACGTCACAACATTATCGTTTTAAATTTAGAACCAGCTTAATTGAGATGGATTTCAAGTTTTACTCTTACAAGGTATGTGCAAAGATGCAAAACATCCTTCAACACATGCATGAAAAGTGCATGAATTTCATTTTGTTAAACAAGTGTGAAAATAAGCCATACAAGAACGAGGCTGTGGCCTGCTTTTTCATGCATGTGTTGAAGAAAGATGTTTTGCATCTTTGCACCTGGCTCGTGAGGGTAAAACTTGAAATCCATCTCAGTTAAGGTGGTTCTAAATTTAAAACGATAATGTTGTGACGTAATCATCAAATGGGTTTTGTACCCTACTTTGAAATGAGCATGCCTTCGGTTACCTGATGCCAAATCTAACCTCAAATCACGCTACCTAGAGTTGAAATTCTCTGGACCTGATTTATGTTTAATGAGCATGATGGGCATCGAAAATACAATACTAAAAAAAATGCAAATATTTTGCTAGCGAGCCATTTCTTTGCAAGTGGAAATCCAGCCTTACCATCTTTGTCCACAATGGGCAAGGCAGATACTTTATATTCAGCAAACATATTCAGTGCTGTAATGAGCGGGGTTTCTGGATTGATCTAAAAAACGTAAAAACAAAACTAACATGAAACTCCTTGTCACCGTAAAAATTTTCGTAGCCCGCTTCCCAAAAGTTTGTATGAAATATTTTTTTAATTAGAATTATTAACACATACCGTAGCGATCTTACACAATGTTCCAATACTAAGTTCTCCTAACGTCTTGTACATAAAATCCGGCATGACCAATTTGGAGAACTACAAACAATCAAGCATTTCATAGTGTTACGCTCTTGCGTGTGATACTCTCGGAGGGACTAGGGATAGGACTGGTGCAAAAATCACGAGATTCAGCCGCAAGGTATAAATTTTGGTCCGATTTCCAATGTATAAAATGCATTTTTAAGTTTGCAGGAGGGGCAGAACTTGCTTATATAAGCCATCCAAAACACGACGCAATTTTTAGACAAATCAGCTTCGGGGTTGCGTAGTTATAGCCTAGCTGGTTTTAACCTCTTTTTATTCAGCGAATCCCACATAACGATCTTACAACATCAACATTTCTTCTTCATTATGCAGAATGTGACGCAATCTCTTTTTTCTCTCTCAACTTAAAAATTTGTCAATTTCGACGTTGATTAGTCAAGGCGGGAGGAAGATATATATTGTGGTTGTAGGGCCATTTGTGTTGGATTCGCCCGAGAGAAAATAAAGACAGTTTGCCATTAAATTTACGTTAAATAATAAATACGTATACACACAAAACAACACAGCTAGGATAGTTAAGCCTCCAGCAAAAAACACAAATTAGCTAGTTAAATAAATTCTTGTAAAATTGTAAAGAATGCGCGTTAAAATTTTAGAACCATGCAATAACACAGAAAAAACTTATGTTATTGTTAAGACGTTTTTAATTTTTTGCAAAACACAGATCCCGAGATATATCGGCCACATTATTATCAGTCCAGGTTCTTTAATAAACTGGGTATAGGTCATAGAGGTGTATGACCCAAAAGTCTATTTCCAGAGCTACCCCCTTCCTTCCCTCGCCTATTTTGACCTGGTTAAGCCACTGCAGCAACTTGAGCAGGTGTGTTTTTCTTGTTTGAAAGAGATCAAATTGGACGATTGTAGAATGTACTCACATGTTCATGTAGATAATGCAGGATTCTTTTGTGTGTTATCACAAACAAGAAGTTTGAAGATGAAGGGTCTATTACTGGTAGGCGATGAATCTTGTGCTTTATTAGATATTCGCAGGCTTCGTATAAACTAGAAACATATGTATGCATAATTATAGCTATTTAAAGTTCTGTACAGTATTTAAAATTAGAACAATTTAAAATTTTCATAGGAAAAAATTTGACTAGTCTCGTTTGCAGACACCGAAAAAATTGATGTTTATGAAATGTCTAATGACCTCGTGTACATACCTAAGTCTCAAAACGCCTATTTCACAGGTGGTTATTAAAGATTACAGAATACGTATTTAAAAGGAAATTGAGAGCATGTGAACCAGTGAATTTTTCCAGTTAAAATTTCATAATTCATGCATGATTCGTTTTTACTGTGCGGAAGCTTTAAATCTTCTGTGCATGTAAGTCATATTTTGTATTACTGGACTAAACTAATCGTACTGTATACATGTATGCCATTATGCCACAACGGAAACTTAGGAAAAATTAAATACATTTTTCCTTAAAAAATATCTCATGAATACCTTTGGTAAGGTGAAATTTGGATCAAAGTAGAAGGCAATTTGTTCTTTGACAAATCTGGTAATTGAAAATATACATCGTGATAGGTCAGGATGAAAATATAGATATGTGACGACCACTGTACTTGACCGACAGATCAGTTGATTTAATGGATGTAAATTAGTGCTATAACTTGAAATCACCTCTCCAAGTTTCAATTCTGTGTTCTTCTACTTCTTCCATTTGTACCTTAAAAATAAAATCAAACTTTTATTGAAATGCTTGTCCCAATTTAGTTGCTAAAATAATGATTGACCAGTAGGGGCGTAGCGTCCAGGTGGAGGGAGGGGTGTGTGCTTCATTCTTATAGTAAATTCTAGATAGATCAACTTATTAGGGGGTTGATTTAAAATCGAAATTTTATATACTTTCCGTCCCGGCCAAATCTATTAGTACTGCAAAAATTGACGGAATTCCAAATTCTGAAATTTGGGGTAGGAATTACCCTTATCTTATCAATTAATATCATACATAGTAGGTAATTTATTAAAGTGCTGGGTAAAGTAGAAACGTCAGTATTTCGAGCTAAGGCTGGCGCAAATATGAAAATATATGCATGTGGCGGCTCTCTATTCTAGCAGTGTTTGTAGTATATCTTACTTACCAACGGTGATTTATAATATGAAACCAATATATTGATGAAATCTGAGATTGTTAACATTCCTAAATGCGGAAGAAATAAATTAGAAATTGCATGAAGAAATTCCTAAGCGAATATTGCGAGAAATACCAGACCTACCCACATAGTCTTGCTTAGTATTGTCCCATAATGGGGCTGACCTCACACCTGGAAAAAGAATATAAAAAACCTAAGCTTTGGTGAACGTGGCTACATAAGTAATTTCTCCACAGAGCCCTGATGGGGTGAAGTAGTATAGGAAACAGAATCAGGCCTGAGGTACAGTATGTACTGTCTACACATTCTTGCCACATTATCATGTATGATGTCATGCAATCAAGTGACCGTTGTTGTATTTACCACATCAACAGCAGCGGCAACATTGCCAACAACAAAAACAACAGCAGAAAATAATATAATATGCATCTCGTATCTTCATTCAGCCCTTGTTGCTGCCACGCACCAGTATGGCAGCACACTATTCTTGACGTACTCGGCCCATTCTTACGCGCGACCTATTTGTATATTGTCAAGATCTCGATTTGTGTCGAAATCGCTATTTTCGATGCAGTTTTGCCTTTCAAAATATATCAAAAACAACGCAAATCGAACTCGTTCATAAAAAATATGAACACTAGTAAACTGTACTTCTTATTTATGAAATAAAAAAAAACTGGTTGATATGCACTTTAAGGGTGAATTTCCACTGGCAGAGAAACAGTCCTGCAAAATATTGGCATATTTTGATTAGAATTTTACAGAATGACTTGACTGTCCGCTCGACTGTTCTCATTTCGAAAGAAAATCTGCAAATACTTCGCTAGCCAGCTATTATACAGCATTTCTGGAATAGTTCAACTTATATATACATTACCGTTAGCAACTAGCGCATAGAATGCCTTTTTTACCTAAAAAGTGAAAAATAACCGAATAAATACTTACAACAAAAAATACAGTACATTTTACTGCGATTGAGCGACAGCATTTAATTTACTATCTATTTCTATCTTCTCCGACCTCTCAAACCCAAAAGCTCTCTGGTTAAATTCGACTAGAAACTGTTCACAATGTCTACTATATATAGGTTAAATCTTTGCAAATTCCTTCGCCGTAGCGATAATCTATTCACATTTTTAGCACTTTTTGACTGGAAAAGTGGAAAAATTATTTTGAACAGGGAGCAAAGTTATAAACTTACCAATAATCTTGTGTCAAAAATTACAATCTTTGCACTTTTTGGCACAATATCATAGCACGTCCGACATTTTAAGTAATTGGCAAATACAGCTCCTTCCGTGTCATCCGAGATAACTAAACAAAAAATAAGGGTTAGAATTAAAGCAAGAATATGAAAAACGAAATGTGACGCATGAGGGGGTTGTTGTGTCTTTTCAGAAACTTTTCAAATCCTTCTAAGTAGCCGATTGATTTCATATAAGATACATAACCATCTTAGATCCAGGGTCTTTTACCTATACTAAGCTACGGCGGAAGCTATATTACCCTGGGTATACCAGGTCGACCAGATAAACGGTTCGGTCCGATCTAGCGAAACAACGAAGTCAGTCCCGTTGATGAGTATCCCCGTTGATGTATATATATATATATATATATATATATATATATATATATATATATATATATATATATATATATATATAGATATATATATATATACACATATATATATACAGTAGGAGGCAAAAGTTTGAGTCCAGTCGTTGTAGCATTCCAGTATTAAATCCTGGCAGCGTATTCGAGATAAGACATGCGTGCTAGTGTTTCAGTACTGTAAACTATATTAATTGCACACTGTTTTGGTCCTAATGATCTAAATTATAACAAAATAAAGTTCTCATTCCTTTACACTGCCCAAGATGGGTGGGAGAAAGGGCATAGTGATGGTGCACAAGGACAAATAGTTGCATTAAGTATTGAAGGATTCTTTCCTCGTAAGATCGCAGAAAAAGTGAAATTAAAAAGGTGGTATGCAACTAACCTTGGAGAGGTTCGAAGAAACTAAATCCTACTCAAGCAAACTTTTAGCTGCTTTGGTCATGCTCGGTTTGGCAATATTGAAAGATTTAATAGGATCCTAATTAAAGAAAAGTATCATCCAATTCTTCAAGGACATGGAATTTCATCTGGCACAAAGATGATCGCACGTCTAACTACATGATAATCACCCTAAGCACAAGCACATCTTCTATGTGCCAGAAATCTTTTAGAAGCAAACTCATTCTGGTGATCTCGTTGTCATGGCTTTCCACCTCATATTCCAGATCTAAAACCTATGGAGCACTTGTAGAACCGTTTTAACCGGAAGAGGGCGAGGCACAGACCCGCCAGCCAGGCTGACTTGAGGCAAGTGGTCAACGAATGCTGGCAAGGTTTTGAACGTGTGACATTAAAAAACCTATGGAATCTATGCGAGCAAGAATAAAGATCATTTCAAGAGCAAAAAAGAGGGAACTAAGCAATGACATGTAAATGCATGTTTGCACATTAAAATACGTAAAAATGAATATCATAACATCTCATAGATGTTGTACAGCATGTATTTTTCTGTTTACTTATTTACTTTTTTCTAGTTCACTTATCGGTAAAGTTTTCTGTAGAATATTAATATATGCTGCTAAAAAAATGAAATACAGTCACTGGACTCAAACTTTTGCCTCCTACTGTATATATATATATATATACATATATATATACATATATATATATACATATATATATATATATATATATATATATATATATAAATATATATATATATATATATATATATATATATATATATATATATATATATATATATATATAACACAGGATGAGAAACACGGGTTATTTCATCGAATTTTATTTAGCTACTACAGAACGGGTTCGTATGACAAGCGTTAAGCTTGCCACACTCATCAGGTAAATAAATTCTCGATAACGTTTTTTTTTGTAGCACGCAGATCGTTGTTACGGTGACATGTGCTACTACTTGTTCAATTTTTGTACTGAGAAATTATAAAAATAATTTCATAAAACAAATATCAGCGGTTAAAGAAATATTAATAAATAATAATCTTAGTTTTTAGATCAAAATCAACTTATGTTATGATACTCTTGATAATTACTGAAGTATAGCGCACTTTGTCATGTTATGGGCCTATAGCTTTCAAAATGTGCTTCTATAATCATATTTATTTGATTCGGTCCTGAATGAAAATTTAGACCAAAATCCACTATATTGTAGAGGAACTTATTCTTGCGACGCGAAAATTAAGTATTTTTATTAATATTAATATTTGATGAGAAGTTATCCCGGCCTTAGATATCAAGAAGAATTTTAAACGTCGTACCTGACATGGGCTCATCCAGGTATATATCATGAGGAATCTAAAAACATTCCGAAATTGTGTTAATTCGAAGTCACTAGTGTATAAAATGGTGAGAAATAATATGTTTTGTATACCCGAGACCGATCGATATTGACGGTCGGAGGGACCACAAAACATGTTTTCTGAGGTCTCGGTAAATAAGTTTTTTTATTATATACCACTTGTCAAAGAAAAATTAAACAACATAGTAAACATAAAGACATAATTTCAAATGGATTAAAGTTGCTATTTCCCATGGAAGTAACGCGTTATCTCCCTCTGCGGAGGGGTGGCGTGGTCCACTTTAAATTTTCGTCACTCTCTCTGAACCAATGAAACGATAGGAGGACCAAACTTTAAATTTGACAAGTGTTATATAATAATACAAAATAAGGCCACGAGAAACACGTGAAATCTAAGAGACAAAATATGTATTATACGTAAAAAGCAAAAGAGACTCTAGCAGTGTTGAATTTTCGACCCAGTAGCTAATAACAAATACAGTATAAGTAAAGTAGTACACATCTTCCAATCAAATTTACTATCAAATCTGACTTCACTTACGTCTTCCACATTGACAAAACTGCTTTTCCCTTGTTCCATTTCCTCTGGCCTGCCATGCCCATATGTGATAACATCAAATAGATCAGAATCATTCATACTGGGCAGGGCCATGTCATCCGGAAGAGGACTCACATCCTCAGGTCTTCTTTTGAAGGCATCGCGGGAGGGAATTTCGTCCCGTTCTGCCTGATTGTTCCATTCCAAGACACGTTCATAGCTGGATTGCGTTTCTTCGGGCGGAAGCTTGAGTGTTCCATTGTCCACATTATTCATTGTATCTCTGGGTAAAGCTTCCTAAAAGGGAGGGTCACGTTGACCAAAATCCTTGTTTCTCCAACTCACAGTACCAGGGGCCAGTATAAAAGACTAGTTAACTTTTAACTGTAGTTAAGGTTAGAATTGGCCAATCAGAATCGTGTATTTCTGAGTTAACTAGGATTTAACTATGCAAAATGTAGTTAAAGAGTTTTATACAACTGGCCCTAGGTATATAAAAAGATCAAAAAACTATGTCCTGTCAAATCACTTAATTTCCTATCACATATGTACATATTTTAAATCCTTTTCACTGTTTTCTTTCCGATTTTTTAATGCTATTTCCTTTCTTTCCCCCTCTCTCTCTTACACAAGCTTTTTCTCTGCTTTTGGGTTTTTCTTTTGCTGACTTGAAAATATTTCTGAGACCAATGGTCATGGTCATGGTCCTGTGTTCTGCTATATATTCCCCTACCTTACTATTCAATACATTTGGCCTCAACGAATTAGCTCAGGAGAGCCTTGAAAAGCCCTGGTACACAGGACCAGAGGTGCAAAATACTACGGGAGGTGGGAATGTGACAACTCCAATACTAAATTCTGCTGGGCATTGTGATTGGCAAATATTGAATGTTACATCATACCGTATTGATATTGAATAAGCATGAAATATTACTCTGCACAAAAGAGGTAATTAATGAGACAATGAATCTCAATTACTAGCTTTGCAGTAGGGTGTTAGTTCACAAAATATCTTAGCCAACCAAGGCTAATGTAATTTCCAACATACGTCAAGGCAGTATGCTAACCATAACCAATGAGTTCTTCTGACCGAAGTGGTGGCATGCAAAGAGTGAACTTTTTTGTGCCTAATGATCAAATTACTGTGTAGTGCTTATGGTATGCACCAATGTAAGTTATATATAGTTTATATCCTGGCAACATTAGTAGGGTATACCCATAGAAAGTGCCAACCTTGAATATTTGACTGACTCCAACAAATATTTCTTTCTGGCATATAATCATATGAAACTTTTTAAAGACAGTGTGCAACTGTTTGCAAACTTGCAATCATAAAGATTGAAATAATTTATCCCTGCATGGGCCTTACCTCATCATTATCATTTAGTGCATCCATTAGCCTCACATTTTAAAGACATTCAACTCCATCCCTGAAACAATAATAGTATAAATATATTAACTTTATTATACTCATTTTATACTTGTATTTATCTTGGAGGAATATAATGTGAGGTTTTATTGTTAATCTAAATATGTGACCAAGCAGGTGCAAGATGGATTTCATTCTTTTTGCCTATGACAGACCTTTGAAAGATCTGTCCATGATATGATCAGTAAATCAATGAAATTTATAATTTCTGGCTTGATGTTGGTATAGCTGAGAAGGAAACATGGTTGAAAGTTTCCATGCACTGAGTGTCTCCCAAAAGGCGACACCGCAACTAAGGACATATCCTATTGTTATAATTCCATTGCTTGAGTGCTATAATTTAGTATATTGCTCAACCCACATGGACACCAGCTTCTTGAAATTTAAATGACTGACCATAAAAGTAAAATTATTACTCTATTGACAATAAACAGAATGTTTGTAACAGATGTCCTAAAATAGCAGGACTTTATTAAATTCACTTATTTGTGGTCATACATGGTTTAAGAACAGTACTTTGAGAACAAGTTAATTTCTATACAGTCTCGCATTTTTGGCTTGTGACACTCTGTATTTAATCAATTATATAACTTGTAAATTATTTGTATATCTACTTAGGAGGGGACAGCTGATACTTAACAAGTAATTCCTAACAGGAACTAAACTAGATACATAGGTATATAGAATTAAACAGGTAAATAAAGTTTTGAACGAGTCAAACATAATATATACGGTATATGAATAATAAGTTGATTCTATTTAAATAAAATTTAAAACATTAAAACATGCTATGGGTTAATTAGAATTCTACAAAGCAAAATACTCTAGATACAAATATGTGTTGATGAATGAAAACTTATTGAATGAAAACAATGATGTACTATATAATTGTGACCATACATCCATTGAATTGTTTTATACTCACACACTTATTGTTTGGAACTGCACCACAGGAAAATCCATTATTGTCAGACTGAGCTAGGATACATTTATACAAGGTAGGTAGGAGACAGACCAGGTGAAAGTCATGAAAGAATTACGTAATTCAGGCAATTTAAATCATGTCAAGCGTCACGTAGGATTTCATGTGGCTATAATTGGTTAAACGGCCAACCAAAATAAAACCGCGCCGTATATATATGTTGAAAACATATATATCTCTTATTTATCATTATTTCGTTTGTGCAATTGCTCACCAGATAGCGGGATTTCATTTAGACATCGATTCAATTTAATTGTTGTGGCAAGGATTATCACTACATACATGCATAATAATTAAACAATTTCTTAATTTACGTATAACCGTGCTTAGGAACACGTTCCAGAACAGTCGCTTTGTCTCAAAGTCCTTCTTGAATTCAACAAAAGAACTTCAATAATCAATGGCGTTGTTTGAAAAGGCCAAAGTCCGAAACCTTGACGCAACTGTTGTGTACTTGTGTTGTATTATTAAAAATAGTTAGCACCTAATGAGACAGTTGAATCTGACGGTTCTGTCAACTTGCTTCGTTCGTGTTATAAAAATATTGAAGCAAATAAGTAGGTTAACGAAGAACATTTTAAATTCGCTGTAAAATCAAACTGAAATCAATTGACTTCCCAGCAAACTAGCTATCACATACAAAACAGCTCTTTATAATCAAACGAAGCCACGAAGCGTACGTACACTTCTAATAAGCACATAATGGAACGTTTTGAGATGCACCGAAATTGTTTGCCAAAGTTTACAACAATAGCCTAAAGTTTGAACCTTCGTAGCTATAAGCTACTCACTTCGGCTTTAATACATGTATCATTCGAATGCGATAAATTGTAGAATTATTATTAAAATCAATTATCAACAAACCTGAAAGTTTGTGTGTTCTTCTTATGTAGATATGAATTTGTGATACTACAGAAAAGCTTGAATGTCCTCGATTCAGATTAGTACTTCGTCGTTGCGGAATTTTAGCTTCCAGATGTGGAAATTATATTTAATATAAATAAAACTGAAATACAGGAAATAGTACTAAATTTAAAACTTCTTTGATCGCTACCATGCAATCGGTGTCTGAACTGACGCATCCCTCCGTTGACTAATCGGAACCCGAACTTTTCCGACGTCAAGAAACTTCAGTTACGTATTGCACAATATTGCCCAAAGTCGGAACGGCATAAGGGGGAACGGCAAAAACTTGGTAAAAGAGATTCGGCTCGTATACACTTGCGATTTTAGCTGCGATTTTCTTCTTTTAAAATTTAATAGATGTGGACGAGTAATTAGTTACGAATGCTCTGATGTATAGAAGCTCTTATTTGAACATCTGTAACTAATGCACTCGTTTACATCTATCAAAAGAAGAATATCCAAATAAAATCGCAGCGAACGTTGCAAGTGTAAACTTTCGTTCTTTCAAATGAGGTAAACTAAATTTTCATTACCAACACCCTTCAGTAAAAAACGAAAAAGAAGTTTAATTCCCCGATCCCTCGCCGCCTCTAGCTTCGTAACCAGAGCCCCTAGAAGAATCGCGGGCTCTGGTTCCAAGATTGCCCGTTGCATTCCCATCAACCTCGCACACAGGTTTTTTATCATAGCTATCCAGGGTAACTACCGAACTGTGTATACAGTATATATCAGCTGGTTAACTGCCCCACATTGATTTTGTAGACACAAAGATTATTTTGCAGCCTTTGCTGCATGCAGGCTTCAGCCAGACCTTTAATTTTTAATAAAATTTTTCGAAAAAAAATTCTTGGAGATACTTTCCTGAAAAATTTTCGTGTAAAATCTTTAAGAAATTTATTGTTTTCTTATTTTCTTTATTCTAAGGTCCCAGTTTGAAGAACGCATGTGTGTGATTTAATTGTAATCAGATTTGATATAACGGGATATAGCTCGCTCGGACGTTACCCGATTTTGGTTGTTCAACTTGCTTTGTCATGCACGCTGTTTTGCGCAGGGAAAATATGTCATGTAGTTTTGCAGTTTCTTCCCCTAGCAGCATATAATTATATATATAAAAGTCTGCCACATACTGCTTTACTCATAAGGCACTATCTTGCATGAATAGCATCATAGCTTTGGGGAACGAAATTAAACGAGGTTATACTCAGGGAAATCAAAGAGAAGAAAAACCTAGGTTATAGGAATCTTTAGAGAATTTTAGTCGACAATGATTGTAAATGATAGACATAACAATGGTTAAATAAAACAAATGGCAATATGGTTAACCAAATTTGGCCTGCTCCAAAAATGGGCTAAGAAATGTATCTTATTTCCCAATCTTGCCGGAAATTCCGAAAAATATGAATATGCATGAGTATACGGCATACTTCGCAAATAGAACCTGTTGAAAACCTTATACTGAGCAGGGGGAAACATCAGTGTGTCCAAAAAACAGAATGCATAAGAATAAATAAACGGGCATATAATATGCCGAACAAGCTGACGAACACTATAATGCATGCATGAATAAATCCGCGTGCACATCACATCGACCTTTTCTCACATAACCGGTTATTTTGCCGAGGTTAATTTCTTTGTGTGTTCAAAGCCATATTTCAAGCACATGAATAAACATTACATTCTAAAAACTAAGAATAATAACGGTCAGAAAGTTCGCGAAAAGTTGCATCCCACAAGAACTTGGGCAAAACTCCAGAGTTCACTGCAGTGAACAATGCATGGCGCATACACAGAAGTTTTTTCGTGGTGTACCACCGACCACGGATGTGGCAGAGGATCGAGACAAAGAGTCACAACTTCGTCAGGTGACCGAGTGGGATTGTGTACAGCATACAGAAAATTACTTGGAAGTATATATTGAACCCTCCAGTGCAGAACGCAGCGTTTCCATTGTCGGAATTGCAATTCCATGAATTGTTCCATGAATTACGTCGAAATTTTTTTGGAGGTCAAGGGTCGTCGAGATTCGTGTGACAAAAACCTTTACGTGTCATTGATGAACTTCGCACACACAAAGTTCATTATTGTGTTGTTCACCAGTATCTTGGTAAGTTTTACAATTACATGCAGAAACCGTGTAATTCATATATGATAATAACTATATATAACTATAGCCGTTGTAACGTCACTTGATAAATATCGACCAGAACGTTGTTAGGATCTTTGATCGTTACTCATAGTTCATCGTTGACTGTCCTGACTGTTAAGTCGAGGAAATTCGCTATTGGCAGTATTGCTTCGATATAAGAAATTTTTAATGCGAAAGTATGGAGCTGAATGCATTTTTTGGTATTGTTTATGCCACTATTAGTATATTAGTCTGGTTTATTTCAATAAACAGATGGAGAGATTTTAAGCATGAACGACGACGGAAATTCGTTCGATCATGTCCGCTACAATACATCAGTGTCAGTGAGTCACTATCGGCCGCGGTGGGATTACACCGCGAGCTTATGCTTTTAGCTTTGAACTTTATCTAGCTTTGTTTTGTGCACAGATTCGGAAGGGCTTTGACCAGAATCAGAGAGGTGGAAATGAGTATCTAGGCAAATCATCGCACTGATACAGGGCAAATGTCAGCAAATTAGACGGCTAGCCCTGTCTCTGTATTTAAAAAGCTCACTTGTGACATTTAAATCAATGGGACTGTTCTTTCTTAATCGAAGAAAAGGTTTAACGTAAAACACCTAAAATCAAGCTTTATTTCAGTAGAAATATCATTATGGAAGGAGTTTCAGTGTTAGTGAGCTTTCATTGAGACTACATGCAGGTCAGTGGTAGTGTAAACACAGCTAGTCAGCTACTGATGTAATGTAATTACAATGAATAATTCAGTAAAATTTCTAGGGTTTCTCAAGAAAAGGAAGTCGCCACTTTAACAAGCGTAATGCATTAAATAGAGTCGTATGATTATAGCTTAGCTTCATAGCTTAAACACATATTATTTATTCAGGTCTCAGACATTAGAAATGTTGACTAGCTAGTATCTGTACAATCCAAAGTACTAAAACCTATTATATAGTAATATGTCCGGTCTAATTAGTCTCGATTGCTGGTTGCATAGAAAGTTACTCCAAATGTTGCAGCATCGTAGGTGTGAATATTCGAGCGGAATTAATGCCCTCGCACATTGAAGTTTTATTTAATACTTTAAATTGAAGGAATATGGCTTCAGGAAGATGGGAAACAAAATTCAACAATTTGTTCACAGAACTGGAACATTCATGGAATTTAGAAGTAGCTAACGATCCTGACAGAAAAACTGGGTGGTCAAGACTGCTCTACAAAGGACAGGCAACCTTCGAATGCAGCAACGGCAAATGCGAAAATAAATGGAATTGTGTTAATAGTGGTCTTGTATTTATTATCGATTATCTGGTTTTGGCATTGAGCGACATGGGGAGGTGAAGTTATTCATAGGAGGGCAAAAGTGCATGCTATGTAGCAATGATGTATTTGAGTATCCTGAATGGCAGGATTCAGAGATAGAGTTTGCAATTGCAAAAGTATTGAATGAAATAAAACAGAAGGTTTATGATATAAGCAGCAGTAATCTCAGAAATATAGAAGAAGACACCGAAAAACAAGCATTTTTAACTGGCTTCCATCAAAAGTTTTTTGCACATCTGTGTCAGTTGTGTTCCCTGGGAATCTGCCAGAATATTGAAAGCGGTAAGAATCACTATGTAGTTCGAGCAAAACCGTGCAATGTAACCGACGTGCCGGCCATATTAACACGGCCTTGGGTTACGCTATTTTAACATGAACAGCAGACAATAAGAAAATTCAAAACCAACGTTCTTATTACCGATTTTCTGTCCAATTTTCAAGGTTATGTCAAGTCTTAATGTAATGTAATGTTAATTTCCTTCTGAAAACGCTCGAAAACGTTACCGCGTGTGCCTTATAATCAACTACTTGTAGAAAATAATTCTTCATTTAACCGTTGGTATTGCAGGTCCAAGTCAATGTTATCCTCTGGAGCGACCTCGTGGTTTCGCACTTATAATCAACGTTAAATCATTCTCTGGTACAACTGAGAATGGGGTTGCTTTACAAGAACGAAAAGGTTCTGACATTGATGCAAAGAGATTGAAAGAACTTTGGGAAAAACTTGGTTTCATCGTGGAATATGATGCCATCAGTCGGAAGGCCCATGAGATTAGTACAATCCTCCAGGACATGGTAAAAAATATTGATAGGCAAGAAAATTCAAAATGTTTTGTGTGTTGCATCATGACACATGGTGATATGGGTAGGATATACGGTTCAGATTCTAAGCATCTTGATATAAAGGATATTATTGACATGTTTAAAGAGGTCAAGTGCAAAGCCTTAGCTGGAAAGCCAAAGATCTTTTTCATCCAAGCTTGTAGAGGTAGTAGAGTGCTTTCAAATCGTTTTCTTCCTGAAACTACAGCAAGCAAGAAACCCTCAATTAATGATGACACTACATTTGGATCAGATCTGAGTGATACTGCAACATCTACTGCAAGTAGAGGTTGCGAAATCATGGGATCACGTTCTACCACAATACCCAAAAAAGTACAATCACTGGCTATCGATGATGGCAATTACAAAGCAATCGATGAAGGTGATTCACCTCTCCATTATATTGATTATGAGGATGATCAATTTCGCAAATTTGCGGATCCGAACGAGCCTCATTTTCTGCTTGGATATTCAACAGCTCAAGGTAAATAAAACGATTTATTTAATATTTTACATCAATATATATTTTAACACATTTATGTATGCAGGGGCACCAAAAGCAGCTTATAGGGCGGCGGGGGCAGTAGGCAGAGTTGTAGAAATGCGCACATTTATTTTAGCTGGGTCATTCATGGTAGAGATAGGAACCAAAGATAAAAATCCCTAATACATTTACCAATAAAAATGTATTTTAATAGAACGGCATTTCGATGTCATCTTTGAGTTTGATTAAAATTCGTTACTTAATTAATATATAATGGGTTCATGACGCTAGCATATAAGCACATTGACAGAGTAAGTAAAAGATAGTGAGCTATAGAACTATAGGTGGCGTATAGTAATTCAATATGGCGTTTTCTCCCGAAATTTAACAACTGCGCGTGCTCGGCAAGGGCCTGAAATGTTCAAAATGGCTTGGATTTCTTGGTAAACGTCGACAGTCGTAGTATAATATTCTAAGACATATAACTGATATTCTCTTAGTCTCGTACGTTGAGCAGAATATCATAAGGACAGACATTAAAATAGTTGTCATATATAAGTGTGACTATATGTGAGTCTTTAATACCTGCATAGATTAGCAGCACGAATTCAGATAGCTGCAATACCTATAGATGAATATTCCTATCTATCTTACAGCTTATCATTAAAATTCTCTTCAGGCCACACGAGGTCAATCGTCAGCAAACCATGCATGCAAAATTAACTAAGTTATTTTCCATGCATCGTAGGACACGTAAGTTTCCGAAGTACTCACGAGGGAACTTGGTACATCAGTGCGTTGGTTGAAGTATTCAGTAAATACCACCAGTTCGAAGATGTCTTATCGATGATGAGCGAAGTTACCAATATTGTGTCAAAGAAATACACCGAATGTTATCAAAAGCAATGTCCTGCACCTATATCTACACTCGTTAAGAAAGTTTACCTTTAAGGGCTATTCACATATAAGCCTCGTTACCCGAGATTTTCTCCCATGATTTTAAAGTATTAAAAAATGTCTTTTTGAAACCATGCAAACACATGATATCGTTAGGAAGATTCCACGATTACCTCGAAGACCATTTTAAGCTTCGTTATAATTCCCGCTAATAGGGCTAATGTAAAAGCTGAGGAAACAATGAATTTCCAGTGAGTTGAGTATGGGACTTATTGCAAATTATATGTATTATTATATATATATATATATATATATATATATATATAATTATATATATATTTATATTATTATATGTATTATATATTATAGTATTGTATGTATTAAATGTTTTGTTTAAATGTCTACTACTTTCATATTGTAAATATCAAATAATTATGCAAAGCCCGGTTGATCTGGGCTGAATATTGTGTAATATTGCTGTTCTTCTCTAGCACTATCGACATTATTTGCAAGTTTTTGCAGCCGTTAAATGTTCTCAAATATATATTGTGAATATTCATATATTCCGTTTTTCCGACGGATTTCTTTTGTCATGCAGTGCAATAGCTAACAATATAAATCCGTCGGGCAGAACTAAATAATAGGAATATAATACCCCCAATCATCGTTCTACAGGGTGTCCCAAAAAAAACGAAAACTATTGAAATCGCTCATTGTTAAAATTTGAATGCCGTGTTCACGAATTTCAGCCCGTGGGGATTTAATGCAACTTATAAAATGCTAAATGCTTTGTATTGCTAGGGAAAGGGGACATGTTGAAGGTCATGGTGCTTGAGATGCACATTTAAATATTGTTATCCATATTTGTAAATTGTAAATATTGTTATTAAATATCATTTTCGCGTACGAGCAAATTTTACTGCATCATATGCATGCATAAAAATGCTTATGGCAAACATTTATTCACCTGTGGGTTCCAACAGAGTGCTTAGGCATTCAAACTCTAACAATTGCATTGTTATGCGTGATTTCAATAGTTTTTTTGGGACACCCTGTAGTTACGCCCCTTCCCCAACATTCCTCCATCGTGCATTATACACCATAAAGGCACGCGACTCTTAATTCTTCCGTCAAGTAAAACAACGTCCTGGGTATATAAATGTCCCGATGGAAAAACCGCAGGTCCCGTCCCGGCTCTCGTATAAACAGAAGAACTTTTTGCAGCAATTACAGTTTACACGGAATTAGTCTAAAATTAATTATTCTTAAAACTATTGTGAAAACAGACAGAATTACATCGATAAAACTATTGCAATAAGTGTATGTAATACATTATATAAAATCATAGAAAGTTAAAATAGCAAAGTTAATTAAAAAGATCCACCTCATACGCTGTCTATAAATCTAGATAATTTGATAGAAAAAAGGCTAAAAACTAAGGTTCTCTTACACGGTGGAATTTTTCAGGCAACTTGCGATACCATTTGACTTTTTAGAGATGTCAATTTGGCAATTACGACTTGTGTTTATATCCACTCCATGCACGTTTCTTGCATGCACTTACATTTTGCAAACTCGTCACTAATTTACATCCCTTACAAGCAGAATTGCTTTGCAAGTGACAAGAAAAATTGCACCGTGTAACATGGCTTTCATTAAATATGTCCTGAGTATCAAAAATCAGTATTGTACATCATTAATACCAATTACAGTGACCGCGGGAGATCTTCAGTGGGTGGGCTGGGTGGTGGTGGAGCTAATATTCATATATACACGTTCATCATGATTAAAATCTTTTAAATTTTTTTATTGTTTTCACGCAATAGCAGCGAGAGATGTGCCACACTGGAGGGGGTATCATCCCAATTTCCAATTTGCAAATGAATCGTCACTTGCGGTTGGAATTCTGTCGACATTTTAAAACATTGCCATTGGCCCGATTTATAATAGAGATGGATCATCCGTCTAAGTATAAACACAAGACGAACTATCTAGAGAAGTATGTCATATTGGATTTTTTTGGCGAAATCCGCTGAATGCGAGTAACGAAGTACCGGTTTTTCCGTAGTTCGTTCACATGCCGTATTTATACTAACAGACGGATGATTAGTCCAGACGAACTACGCGTGCAAGTTCGAATTCGTCTAAATAGACGAGCTACGGAGATAATTCGTCTTGACGGATGATCCGTCTGTTTGCCAGCGTTTATACACAGACGAACTAGAAGACGAACTATCTTTAGCTTGCCCAAGTTCGTCCAGACGGATGATCCGTCTCTAGTATAAATCGGGTCATTGGTTAAGTAAGTCAAATGCAAGTTCCTCTCGCTCACTTCTTTCCAGTCCAAAGAAACTCTTTCCGATTAAAATATTTCAAGTAAACTGTAATGTATGGCAGAAAATCGTCAATCTCTTGTCATTTCCGTGTTTTAAGTAGCGCTCGTATCGCCGGTATGTTTACGCTTTTCGCCTGACAAGTCCATTATGGCAATTCTGAATCCTAATTTAAATGTAGGATTCTTTAAAATATATTGATGACAGCGCTCTTTCTAAAATATTTGGGGTCGTTGGCCCCTTATTTGAAATATTGAGGGGGGGGGGCTTTCTTTGCCCTTGTTTTTACGGTCTGCTAAAGTAGATCCCTCACTTAACGATCTTACGCAGCCACTGAATTTTAATAAGTACATTCTTCATGTCAGCTATTCACTCCGATCCAGAGTTACTTCTTCTAACTTGCAAATCTTTCGGCACTATCAAATTAAATATTTAATAATATTATGAGCTACATGACTAAGAAGGTCGCCTTCAACCTCTTACCCAGGATTTGCCCTCTTGGGTCGCCTTATAGCCATGCATTATATAATTATGGGTAACATTATTAATTTTTTGTTAGCTGTTATTTATGTTTATTGCTAAGGTTTGTTAAATAAAAAATGCCAAAAACACTTACGGACTATTTTGGATGGGCTGCGATGTAGTTTTTGGTAGTGGGCCGGTTCCTTATAAATCTCTATAAAATGTACAGAAATGTGTGAAAAAAATCACCTAAATGGCGTAGTATTTCATGATTTATTTTTCTCGCGTTCTTGTAAACTGTAACAAAAGCGTGTGTAAAATCCCGTGTTTACTCTTTCCGCATGTGTTGTTAATATTAATATGCGTAATTTAGCTACCCGTAAAGGAGCACTGCATGAGCTCTATGCCTCTATGGGTTTTATCTGTGTTTGACGAAGATTACAAATAAAAACAAAATAAAACAAATGCCTTAAGATATTGTGTGATATAGACTTTCCATAAAATCTAAAAAACCCCAGTTGCTAACCCTAGTAAACTAACGAATTGCTTACGAAGCGAGTGGAAGTTTGAAGGTTCACCGGAGAACAATCGCTGTACAAGCAATTCGTTGGTGTATAATTAAAGCAACTAGTGTCTTTTAGATTTCATGGAAAACCCGTACACAATATTAACGACCATTGCAAATTTGGAATTTGGCAGCATGCATGAAAATCTGACGTATAGGAAAAAAATTGTATTTTCAAAGTATATTATATAGACATACTGAACAATTTCCTAAATTATTAATTAAACTGAGAATGCATTAAGTTTGAATGCTACAAATTAAATGCCAATCAAAGTTTCCATCTATCAAATCAGTAGGCATTTCCACTGACCACATTGCAAACGATTCTATATTCTTATCATTCAGCTAATCCGGATTGCTTTAATAAAGGAGAGATTCAGCAGCATTCAGCTACATTTTAGGAGAAGTTGGATATTGTGAAACGAAAGCTGTGGTTACTGAAACATACCTTGATGAAAAGTCAGATCCATGAAATCAGACTTCAGATGTCTAAACGTTGGTCTGTGATCTTTCTTTTTCATTGTGGACTGGATAATTTTTCGAATTGAATCAGGGATTTTTGGATGAAGTTCAAGTTTATTACCGTTAAGAACCTACAAAAAGAAAGCATGTGTGTATTTAGGAAATGTTTCGCTTGTACGCTTCGTCGAAGAGGTCTTATACTTTTGCACGCAGATGGGGTTCATAATTATATGTAAATTAATTATTTTATTAAATTTCTGAAGAAATAAATAATTATGTAACTTTAAAATTTCCACGAATTGCCAAAATATCTTCTAAAGGCTACACCGTCACGCGAAACATTGACATTTAACATTTCGTTTCTTAATATTCTTGTATGTTTGCATGGTGAGGCATCACTAATTAAATTAGCTTGTAGGTACACCACGTAAGTAGCAAAGTTTTCGGTTCGTTAATCCGTTAACTCTTTTCGTTCGGTTAGGCCTGCATGGGTTAAATACTTACGTGGTGTACCTACATGCTACAAGCTAATATACTGATTTCGTTTCTTGTTACCTATAATGTGGCTTGATATAAGAGATACCCTGGCAAATTATCTTTTTGTTAAGCCAAATTTATGTAACTTTTTGATCTTTTTACCTTCGACATTGGAAATGAAAAGTTTTGCGCTATAGGTTGCCTCAGTTTTTTTGACAGAATAACCTGATGTTATATCTATCTTACTTAGTTATATCTATTTTATAATATGACATAAAAAATCTAGAGATGTTTATATACCAGATGTAGATTATCGTCGTATATATTAATCTATACTGACTTACATATTTCCGAACTTCCTCGTCACGATGTAAAGACATTCCGCTTGGCATATTGACGTATGGTCTCGAACCAAAGGTGAAAATCTCAAACAATAACACACCAAACGACCACACATCAGACGCAGGACTAAATTCACCGTCCCGAAGTGCTTCGACAGCACTCCAACGCACAGCAAATTCATTTTCTGGATATTCATTTACGGACGAACTCACAGCACAGGACTCCAAACGAGAATAGGAAAGGATAGCGAGGTGAAAATCACCAAGTTTGACGAGCATGTTCCCCTGTGGATCTTTATTGAATACAAAACAGCTCCTGGCACACAGGTCACGATGGATTATGCAGTTGTCACCGAGAAAAATCATAGCTTCGCAAACACCTTGAGAAATGCGAATGAGCTCATCAACAAGAGGGGGATTGGTCAAATCGTGAAGGTATGTCCACAGGTCGCCTTTCGGTGTTCTCTCTATTATCATGTGAATAGGAGCCTCGATGCTAGAGCCAAGTAAGCGGACTATGTTTTCGCATGGTTTTTGTACAGCATTCAAAATCTTGAGGATTTCAATTTCTTCCTGAAGAGGGGCGACACCAGATTCTATTTCAAGTAATTCTTTTCTTGAATGCAGGTGCAATTTCAACAGGCATTTTCGGCCACTCATCGATGCATCGTAAGTATTGACGCGGTAAGCCGAGAGCTGAATCTGTGATTCGTGAAAAATCTCCAATACTGAATCTCTATATGTTGAAGATAACTGAATAAGGGATAAGTCCTCAATGCACCTATCCACAAGAAACTCCTTGATACTCTGTGGTGTCGAGATAAAAACCGCTCTCTCGCACAGTTGCTCAGAAAGTTTCACCGTTAGTTGACGCAGGGGCGATGTCGTTGATTTATCTTCTTCCCAGTTCCTAAAAACTCCACGGCAGCCTTGTTCCCCGGTTAAGACTTGTTGAACTATTGCTGCAAAATGGAAAAACCCGAGAAATATAATAAGAATGAATCATTATGCCAGATTATCGTTGTATAGGTTCCAGGCAGGACGAAACTTGCGCAATAATTGGGAAGGTGGGTGGTAGTGAATGTTCATATATTCTGTCCTGCCCAACGGATATGATTCTCTCTGTCGGCCAGAATAAATAAATGAATATTCACTCCCCAATAATTATCATCGTATATATTTTCGCCCATGTTTCCAGGTGAAAATGTGTGTAAAGTTGAAAGATTAAACTTTTCGCTGCAATACCAGAGCTGGTTGGTTGCATAAACGATTTGATTGTGCGCAAACCTAAAGTATACAGCGGAAGTGCGAAACCCTTTTCGACAAAAGTTTCCAGATCAAAATCCACCTGCACTAAGCACAATTTGAAAGTATTTAAACGCAGGTACAATTTTAAACCTTAATAAAGGACATTCTGGCAGACGAAGAAGTATTCGAATAACGGTGCACAACATTGACGCTGTCAGAAAACTACTTCAGCAAAATCCTCACGTATAAGTGCTCGTCGCAACCCCATTGCGATTTCCAGAGCAAGCTATAACCGGATAACAAGGACTGAAATTAAATGGCACCGATGCCGAATGCATGTGCGGCATGAGCTGTTGGCAGGTGACTTCGCACGTTGATTGCACTTCTCCAGATGGTTTAACCAGTGGCGTAACGGACGTAAGGTAGGGTTAGGACAAGAACTAAGGGCCCCCGACCGTTGGGGGCTCCAGAGGGCCCCCATTGATTGCCGTCTATCGCCACGATTCTTAAAGAAAAACGGCGTGTCAGTGTATCGCATAAAAAAGTCAGGTTAAAAACAAATATTTATGCCAAAGATAGGCCTAGGGTATGAGGTTGATTGCAAAAGAAAATGCAGCGTTAATGATGGTAGATCAAATAATAGAGTATCCATCGACCATGGCTGAATTTTCTATTCTATTATCTACAGTGGCGTAGCCAGCCTGACGATTTTGTCCCGCTATGTAAATTTCGAGTTATTATAATCATTCATGTCTTTAGAAATTTATTGTTTTCACAGTCAACGAACATCAAAAAATTAGCATAGCGGAACAAATCGTCAGGCTGGCTACGCTACTGATTATCTATGTTCTATTACTTATATAACTAATGAAGTAATACACTAATGTAAATTTACAAGCTTCTGCTCTCAAATTATTTTTCAAGTGAAAACATGACAAACAGCTAGGGCCCTCACACCAAATATAGACCATCTTCGTCCGTTACGCCACTGGGTTTAACGAACGCTGTCGCTGGGAGAATTTTCTACGTAGTTTGATGATTGAAGATGAAGCATCATTTTACCATGAAAGGCGAAGTGAATACACAAATGAAGTGTTTGCAACTCCATCACTCTATACTAGAGTGATCTTTATTGGCTATTGCAGCCCGCAAAGGGTGCAATTAGTGCTTAATCGCATTACTCTTAGCTTAGGAAGTTGCAGTATTTGCCATCGATTGCAGAAGATGTATAATTAAGAGCCTTATTTTAATAATATTTAAGAAATAGAAAACATTTTCCGTGTTTCTAAAGAAAAGGGAGAATTTCGTTTTAAACTAATCAGCATATTTGTCAATTATGCATGCTGATTAGACATTCTGATTTAGCCAATCAGAATGCTTAATCAGCATAATTTAGCCAATCAGATTGCCTAAATTTTTAATACCTTTTTACGTACCTTTACGTACTCTTATGTACCTTTTTACCGGAAGTAGTCAAAATTTATGCATTCTGATTGGGTTACTAAAAATGCAAACAAACCTGTTGATTGATCTAAAACGAAATTACCCCTTGTTACGCATGGGAGTTTGGGAGAACGAGAAATAATCAGTGTAATCACCTCGCCTTCGACGACTAATTGTTAAAAAGAAACACGCTTCTCGATCAATCAGCACGCGCGTACTATAAATGTTATATTATAAATATTATTGTTTGAAAATAAATGCATTCGTAAGCCGAACAAGATAATAAATTTTAGTGAACCTAGCTTAGTTTAGTATAATACGCCATAGCTAAATTATCGACGTTACCTTTGTTGTTTGATGTTCTAATCAATCTAAGCATCACCCGATAAACCAACAACTCAAACTGCCAACCAGGTCTTTGATTTCTAAAGAAATTCTTGATTTTCGAGGTACTGAAGCGCCCGCGATAGTCTGCAACTAACATCTGTATTAGAATCACAGGTCTTGGGTTGTCTTGGAAATGATAATGCTGGAAATGATAATACTTATAACACCTTATCAAATATTTGGCAATTCTGCCTACTTTTAGAATGATAAACTGTGCTTTTTAAAGTAAATGTAGTTTATTCACACAGAAATAGAGGTTACGTAATGAGCAGGTGAATTAACCAATCAAAATTGAGAATACGATAAAGTGAATGATAATAGCAATTGAACCATACCTTGGGTAAATCTTGCAAAAATACAAGGCACACATGAATATTCAACCAACTGTCTGCATCACTAAACTCTTCACCAAGCTTCTTTACTTCATCCTTGTCTAACTTGTCTTTCACAAGGTTTTCACACTTTTTGATGTTGTGCTTGAGGAATTCCGCTACATCCCGTTTAGAAGATGACTGAAGAATTTTTTTGATACTTTCTTTGGCAAGACAAATACCATACCGGTAAAGACTTTGTTCATTCTTTTCCTTTTGCTTCATGAGTGTGCTTAATCTTTGGTCAAATTGTTTCATTTTTTGTTGTAGTTCGGCAAATTCCTTTTGGCCAAACTTCAAAAGGACTAACGTAATTAGCCAGGCATACGTCGTCATCCTGTGGCACTTGGCTTTATATCGATCCACATCTATGAAGTGAAAAAACGTTGAGCGAAGAACTTCTTCCGCCTCCAATACGTTTTTACAACGATCCACCGATAAATCTGAAATATTTAAAAATATTTCATTTAGCAGAACATCAAGCGCTCTTTTCACTACGCGAGAGCTGTCACAGCAAGCAAGCATTGCCAACTGGTCAAGTTGTCCATCCAATATTGGAGATTTAGGATCAGAATTATTTAAAAGATGGGTGATGATAAAGATTTCTTCTGCTGTTCTATCTTCGTCTTTAGTACTTGCAAATTTATCAATGAACTCTTTTGTTTTGCTTTTAAATTCATTTATTTTCTCTCCGAGTTCTAAAAAGAAATCATGATTGTTCACAGATGGTTCAAAAAATATGCTTAAAACGATAGTGCTAATACAATATTTGAAGGAGCTAGGCAAATATTTCGTCCTTCAAAATTATTTTCAACGGGACTGACTGACAATCGGACGTTAATTACTCCGGTGTTAGCCACGAAGTTGAAAATTCGCCTTGGTTTTGTTTTGTTGTTGTTTTTTATTTTTTTTTCGTCGTCGCAATTGTGTTTTGGCGCAAAATATACTAATATTTGAAATGTGTATGTGACCGTATTTATCTAAGAGTTGTGGTGCACAGCTTTGGCTAATTTTCCGATGCGCGATTTGATTTCGCTCGCATGATACGTCAATTCCTCCAAGAAGAACAAATAAACCGTTCTTTTGACGCTGTTCGATTAAGTTTAGATTTAATTTGGGTCAGAATATATTTAATACATGTAGATTCTGATCCTTTTTTAATAATATCGCTGCTATTTCGTCGTTTAACAAGATGTGGCCGTGTATGGGCGCGTTGACACTTCGCAGTTTGCACAGGATTGAAGATTTAATATAAGCGCGAATACCAAAGTGTAAGACATAGTGAACGTATCATGCGGTTTATTACTCCGGCGTCAGCGACGGAGTTGAAAATTCGCCCCGGTTTTGTTTGTTTTTTTTTTTTGTTTTTTTTTTATTTTTCGTCGTCGCAAGTGTGTAAAGGCGCGAAATATTACTTGTATTTAAAGTGTATATGAAATGTTCTCAAAAAAACTCACTACTACCTAGATAATACACCGAAATGGCCAAATATTTTCGTTTCCAGGCTTTACTAAGGTGTAGGAACGTTTTTTAAGCACATAAATATAGGCTATTTCGGTTTCAAAAGTGGTACATCTTTTACGCGCGGCCAAATTCGCACCCCCCTGATTTCTGACGTAAAAACCTTGACATCGCTCGCGGCATATGTAAATATGGCGGCAAAATGGAAAATATAAACACTCGAAAGAGAAAGACTGGCGGTAATTATTGTGTGGCTGGTGGCCCTAGCAAGGTTAGTTGTAAGAATAACAGTTATACCGATGGGGTTTCTATGCATTACTTTCCCAAAAACGAAGATCTCAGGAAAAAATGGACGAATTTTGTTCGTAAACATCGAAAAGACTTCGAGCCATCGAAGAAGTCGTGTTTGTGTTCAGCGCACTTTGAAGACGAATGCTACGAGAACCGTCCAAGTATTAGCTTCGCTGACCTACCAAACATCGACAAACCTCCAAGGTTTAAACAGTTTTTGATAAAAGGATCGGTTCCAACAAAGGATGTCGCAGGAAAATCCGCACAATTGTATGCACCGCCGAGTGCACGCCAGCGAAGACAAGTAAGCATTTATGACATATAAATCAACAAGATTTATACTAGATTTATATAAATCAAGAAGATTTATACTCTATGAATCATATTAAATTTTCATGAAATTAAGATGAACAGAATTTCGGTCGAAAAAAGTTAAAATAGCAAAGTTTTGCATCCACAAGACAACATACAGTCCTGTGCAAGTTTTTATTCTTTGATGTTGTGGGAAAATCGGCCAATTGTGGCCCTGTATACAGAATGATCTGCCCATGACATATTTTTTCGGAATGTATTAAATTCCCATTTGTGCATACTGTAACGGTACTGTATGTACACTTTTATAGTCGATAATGATGATGAAATGTAATCAAATTTTTTCATCATGCTGTATATATAGATTTTAAAAGAATTGAATGCCTCTCAAGTTGAGACGTTGCCTCATGATGCTAACAGTAGTCCCAGCTCATTACCAAACAAGCCATCAACTGAATGGCCAAGTCCTTCTGTCACTCCTGTACAACCTGAACCAATCACAAGTGCACCAACCAGTACAAGCAATCTAAGCTCATCTGATCAATACACATGGTCAAGTCCTGTCACCCCTGTAGGAGCTGCTACTACAGTTCTACATGCACCTGGGTCCACAAAAAAGCCAGTGTGTCATAAATGTGTAATGCTTAGAAAGAAATGCACCTCGATGAAGAGAAAGAACAACAGATTGAAGGTTCAGATGCAACATTTAAAGAATAAAGTGAAGCAATTACGGAAGGTGCAGGTATGGGTAATTTACAAGTTTCTCGAAGTAGTAATTTAGTACATGTAGCTTCAGTTAATGCAGTATCTGTAGAGTGTCACAGATACCTTTGTACTGCATTCAGTCTACTTTGCTATTACACACACACACACACACGCACACACACACACACACACCAACAATGAGAGCAAGCGACACACAATGGTTACAAGTAATAACTTTGCTAATATATTTACTGAACTCATTTGTAGCTGATTGGTGTCACTGGTATTGCTGCAAAAAAAATAAATATTTAGTATGACATACATGAACTGAACTGTGTGCATTAAAATATGTGCATGGTTTTCTATAGAGAAAAGCAGTGATGGAAACAGGGTCCCTTGATGACAAAGACACTACAATAGCCTTGATGGACGATAGCTCTGATGATGAAAACGACAATGGCAGCCAAAATGAAGATGAAGATGAAGATGATGATGACGATCATGATGATAGTGATGATGATGGAAATGGGATCTACTGACGATGAGATGAATTTGAAAAGAGACCCTGATTGGACTGCACTTGAAGAATGTGATGCGCAGGACTCTAGTGATGACGAAGAAGCAAATGAAGAGCAAGAAAGGGAGCATGCACAGAATGAAGTCAGGTGCTGTTCACAATCCATACAGTTTAATGTCACATAGTCCATACACATGTGCACGGCAACCGAGACGGGAAACGACTTATCACAGGCCCCTAAGCCTTAAAGGCCCTTGATTTGACACAGGCAGATTTATAATGTGGGGCCAGCTCACTTTCAACCTAAGTCTACACGCATTCTATTATGATACCATTTAGCATGGGACCCACAATTTCTCTTGGCAGCCATGCATATGTGTAAAGAGTATGATATGGATCATGATGGAGTCATGATACACTACATACCGCACCCAAGTACTAGCTATTTTACTTTAATTAATATAGATTTGAAGCAGAACAACCAGTCTACGAAGAACCTAAATTTATTGTTTTCTTGAGCATGCTAGTATCATTGTTTACAATGTTCTGCTTTAAATGCAAGGAAAACAAACCCACCATAAGTGTCCACCGTAATGGAACCAAGGTGACAATTTGGCAGCATTGTCTTAAGTGTGGGAGCAAGGCCTTTAAATGGGAGTCTCAACCACTGGTTCTTGGGCTGTATCCAGCAGGGAACATTCTAATGAGCTTTGCTACTTTGCTATCTGGGGCTTCTGTGAGCAAGGTTCTGCTAGTATTTCGGCACATGGGACTATATGCATACAGTGTTCGTACGTATTATTTCCACCAAAAGAAATTTATTCTCCCTGTGATCCTCAAATATTGGGAAAAACACCAAGCTGCACTTGTGGAAGAAGTCAAGACCATCAAAGATACAGTTTGGTGTGGGGATGGAAGATTTGATTCGATGGGCCACAGTGCCAAGTATGGTGCATACACTATGTTTTGTACCACTACACTTAAGGTTGTGCACTTTGAAATTCTTCAGGTACATTCAACTCACTACATTTTTGTATCCAAATATTTAATGAGGCTGAAGTAATGTGTACTGTATGTTGCACCTAGTCAGTAGTCAGATGATTTTACTAATGAAGGAGACACCCTTGGACCCTAGTAAGTTAACCAATATATACTGTAGAGTGCTCCTTCTTCTTACAGGCAAATGAAACAGGAGGCAGCTCACCCATGGAGCTGGAGGGTGCGAAGAGAGCTTTCGACTATCTGACAAGAGTTGGAATCAACATCCGAGTCTTCATTACTGACCGCCATCGAGGCATTGCAAAATGGGTCCGTGAACACAAGCCAAACACCTCACATTTCTATGATATTTGGCATGTTGCCCGATCTATTCAAAAGGTCCTGCTCAAGCTAAGCAAAGAAAAAGGATGCGAGAAGATTGCAAAGTGGATGAAAGCAATCCGCAACCATCTGTATTGGTGTGTGACTTCAACAAAGCAAGGGTTTGAAGAGCTAATACTAGCCAAGTGGAATTCATTCATGAATCATGTAGCAAACAGACATGAGGGCCACCCTGACCCATTGTTTAAAAAATGCTTACATGGTGAAATTGACCGTCGCAAGTGGATTTATAACGGTACACTATATTTCGAAACAAGCTAGGAAAATATAGTTAACCCATTAAGCCCCAGAGCTTTCCCATTAGCAAATAAAATCGTCTGGCATTTGTAAAAAAAAGGCGGTCGCATTGTAGGTTAAAGGGTTAAATTTGTTGTGGTTATAAATGATCAATTTTGTATTTTCTAGGAACAAAGGCATATCAAAAACTTAATACTGCCTTAACAAAAACTAAACTCCTGAATGACATCAAAAAGCTATCACCTGATGCTCAAACAAGTAGTCTGGAAGGGTTCCATGCAACATTGAATCACTGGCACCCAAAAATGATCTGTTTTAGTTGGCTGGGAACATATTGCAGGTGTGAAAATTACTTGAAAATCACTAATCATACACATTAGAACATTAAACAAAGGGAGGGTATGACTCAACAAGTGAATGATCTGCTCTGATATTGGGCATACCAGTTTACTGTATTTTACTCTTTCTGTTAAATGCCATATGATTTGACTTAAGGGAAAATTCAAGATTACAAAAATATGGGTAATAGTATCTAGATACATTTTGTTTCATTTTAGGCATATAGTTGCGGCACTCCACTTTAATGAAAATGTCCAGAGAAAATCACATGTTTGCAAGGATGGAAAAGAATCTGTAAGGGTGATTTTTCCCAAGTACAAGATGGGAGAAGAAATTGTTCGAAAAGTTACTGTTCCACCTACCTATAGTAAGTAAGCACTAAATGAACTGTACACACTACAAGGTGATAATGTACAGTATTTATATTTGTTAATTTTGTAGTGTGCCATAAAATTGATGATTATTGCCTATTTCCCTAGCAAGGCATTACAAATGTTAAATTTTGTAGCTATAGCCATACTAAAGTAATTATTTCCTAGAACTGTGTATATTGATTCAGGAGACAGTAAGTTAATTATAGCATTTGTCTTTTAGACTATGTTGAAGAAATCAGGAGACTTCTTTTTTCTATGTCTAAGGCACAGATTAAAGAACTTGAATCAGTAAAAGAAAGATATGCTGCCAAAACTCCATCCCCATTGACTTCACAGTTCACAAAAAGAAAAAGCAAACCAGAAGCAATAAAGGCTCATGAACAAAAAAGAGTAGAACAGCTGCTGAATTATTTCCTGCTGGTAAGTGTCACCAATACACAAATGATAGCACCTAGGTATGCTTGTACAGTGAACAATATATATATATATATATATATATATATATATATATATATATATATATATATATATATATATATATATATATATATATATATAATATATATATATATATATGTTTATTCACAGTAGCAGAACAACAGGCTTTACAAAAAGAAATTGCAGCTGCAAAAGCCAAAAGCAAAACTAAGAAGAGGAAATCTCCCACTTGCAAGACATGTGGCAAACGTAAAAAAGGACACCCAAGAGGCACTTGTCCAGCATCTACCTAAGTTTATCAACTAAACTTAGGGCATGTTATGAAATAATGATGTTGTGAAACAAAATCCCAAGAGATGTACATAAGAAAATTTGTATTGTTATTTAAAAGCTTATTCTTTTCTCATGTATAATACAGTGAATAAAAAAAAAAATTAAACAGTAATCATATATACTTAACAATCTATCAATTGGTCCATCATTTCAACTCCTTGCTTCTGCTGACTGGTAACCTCTTCCTTGATGATGGTTGATGGGAAAACGATTTCTGATGTTTTTATAAACACAAGCTGGCAATGGTCTTGTGTTATCCCAACCCATACTGCCACAAATCCAACGGATTAACCATCTGTATGCGATAGCTCGTAATAAACTACAGGTAGAAAAACAGCATCATATTAAATGAAATAGAGTCTTGAAAGTACCGTATACATGTGGGATGCTATATTTAATCATAATGGGCTATTACATTTAAAAACCATACCCCCCCTGTTGAGGACCTCTGGTTTCTGAGACTATTCCCCCTCTGGAATGGCAAAAAATCTAGATAGTAAACCCCTCTGGAAAAAACCTTGACTCCCTGTGGAAATGCATTTTTACCCATTCACCTCTCTGGAATTGCCTAAATTATGCCATAACCCTACTTGAAAAAGGAAAAATTTACCCCTTTGGAAAATAGAGGTCCTCGACAGGGGGGGGGGCGCTGGTATTAAATGTTATAGCCCAATACACAACACCACATTACACTACAATGTTCCAACAGCCAAAACAGACGCTAAGAACTTAACTACATAAAGACTTACTTATATAGCAATATGTATATTTATACACATACTGTACGTATTTACAATAAACTTTCTATTTTACTTACTCGTTCTCAGACTGTCCAGCATGGCGACGGTAACTTCTGCCATTTCTGTCCTTTAACATAGGCCCAACATTTTCAAGTACTGTTCGATTTGTCATGGCTGTAAAATCTTCGTGTTGCGTGACACATTTAAATTTCTCAATCGATCCATCAAATATTAACTTGTGTACAGCTTCTGCAACCTCATGACAACACCTACACTCTCTTGGATTCTGCAGTTGCTCGGTACAGCATTGCCCACACTTACACCTATCACATGTGATGTACGTGCATTGAAATATGTCCAACGATCAAAATATATGCAATATTAGCAGTAAGCTTATACCATTGATCAAAGGAAACTTGACGTTCGAATCTTGAACAAAGAACAGTTGAAGACAGACCATCTTCGTCAAGCTCATCTTCCTCTTCGTCGCTCGAGTTAGCAAGAGGTTCGTCTTGATAAGGTTGCACTCCTCTTACAGTGATATTATCTTCACCAGAATCACTGCTGATTGATTCTGAACTTGATTTTGAGCTTGAAGACTCATCGTGTTCGCTAAGGTCGCTCATAGTGGGTATATTATATCTTTTGAACGGTTTGTAATTGTACGTTCGTCTTTTACAAGTAAACAAATAAATATATTTCGATCGCGTGTCAAGGTTTCTACGTCATCAGTGGCAGTTCTAGTTCCAGTCTCCTTGACAAAAATTGACTAATTTATTGGTCATTTTTAACTATTTTGCGAAGCAAAATCATTGCTTTCTAAAATTTTTCTGATATTTTTTTTGTGGTTTTAGTAAAAAAAAGATAATAAGAAAGAGAAAAAGCGAAGAAAAAAATTTATTTCATATACACTTTAAAACGTGTATGTGACCGTATTTATCTACGTCCCAGTCTTATCTCCCAAGAGTTGTGGTGCACAGCTTTGGCTAATTTTCCAATGCGCGATTCGATTTCGCTCGCATGATACGGCAATTTCTCCAAGAGGAACAAATACACCGTTCTTTTCATGCTGTTCGATTAAGTTTAGATAGAATTGGGGTAAGAATATATTTAATACATGTAGATTCCGGTCCTATTTTAATAATATCGCTGCTATTTCGCCGTTTAACAAGATGATGTGGTCGTGTATGGGCGCGTTGACACGTCGCGTTGTTTGCACAGGATCGGAGATTTAATATAACTATATAAGCGCAAATTCCAAAGGCAAACTGTAAGACGAAGCGAATGTATCATGCGGTTTATTTACATTTTTGAACAATTGAACTTCTATACTGCGATGTGCTTCTGAATTTCGCGATGGAACATTTAGGTTCGCAAGGCATCTAAATGCGAATATGTATGCGAAACAATACGCGAACTGTATTGTTTATGTTCAGAAGCTCTATATTGAAGACTGGCACGTGCGCCGGAGTTAACGCCAGAACGGCGTCTTGTTTACATTTTTGAACAATTGAACTTCTATACTTTTTAAAGTACGATGCGCTTTTGAATTTCGCGATCGAACAACATTTTGGTTGGCAAGGCATCTAAATGAGTATACGAACGGTATTTTTTATGTTCAGATATTGAAGACTGGCACGTGCTCGGCACGCCGGAGTAAACGCAAGAACAGGCGTCTTGTTACTCCGGCGACAGCGACGGAGTTGAAAATTCGCCTATGTTTTGTTTTGTTTTTGTTTTTTGCTTTTTAAATTTTTTTTCGTCGTCGCAAGTGTGTTTTGGCGCGAAATATACTAGTATTTGAAAAGTGTACTAATTTAACAATTTTGAATTGAAACTTACTTTTAACATTTATTTCTTTTTGCAAAATGTTTCTATCCTCGGATGTAAAAGCTTTGTGGTAATCTCTGGTTGGTAAGTTGGGAGGAAAAGGAGAATCTAAATAATTGTAAATGATTCCAAACGTTGAACTTGGCTAAATAACAATGGCAGGAGCTTTACACCACTTCACGTTAAAGGGCTGACTGTGTGGCTAGAAAAACTCGACTAGAAAAACTACATTTTTGGGAATTGTGATTTCTCTGACATGTTTTACGAATTGTCAGAATTGATTCTAATTATTGCTAAGGAAAAAGGACTTAATTTCAGGTGGAAATCATACACATCTCAAATTCAAGCCTGGAACACCTGCAAAAAATTTATCAACTATCGGTCCTCCGGCAGAAATGGAACCTACGCTTTAGAATTCCGGTACAATTAAAGGTCTTGTACCATGCTCTCTCTTGTAACCAGCTACAGTGGTAGTTGACAAGAGAGAAGCATGGTACGTGTGAGTTTAGGATAGTAATGCGTGCGAATATTGACTAATATTCTCTGAACTATTCCTGGCTTGAATTCGACGTATATGCATGATTTCCACTGGAAACTAACGCCGGTATTAAAAATGCTAACTCGCACTGAAACTCAATGAGTGCATGTGATAGAAATCTTGCCATTATTTTTATTCAATGAGAAAGTTATTGCTTAATCGCTGGAAAAAATCGTCATGGAGACGTTTAATCGGTCATAAGTACGTCGTACATGAAGCAATAGCCTTAATTTATAAACACTTCTCAAATAAAGTTAATCAGTACCATTAGAAGTAGGCTTTGAGTTGTCATAACTGTTTGTAGGATCATTCTTTAATTGAGATCTTCTATTCACATTCTCATCTATCTCATCTAGTTCTGAAACCTCTTTACCAACGTTGGTCTTTTTAGAGAGCTACAAAAGGCAGGACGGAGCTTAAAACAGGATCTTATTTGGTGCCGAGAATCTCTAAAGTGTCTTCGCATGACATGTATTAGTTCATTTGGAGTGCTCGAAGTAAAAAAAGCAAATTTTGACATTACGTACGCGTATACTGGAACTGAAACTTTATGTATTACTTTCAAACCACAAAACATTGTTGTTCAATTTTTTTATTATTGTTGTGTTGTTGCGAGTTGATGTTGAAAATTGTTAGGTGTAGCAGGAAGCGAGCCCACTTTTCGCGGCAATTTCAGATTCGCAAACCGATCCCATCAGCGGATTTCGCCTACTGGGAAACGGGCTTCAGGCCATTTTTAAATTCCCGGGCCCAATGCGCGAAATCAGCTGCACATTATCAAGGGAAATTATTGAATTAAGAGTTGTAATATATCTGCTATGATTTTGTTTTAAGATTTTATTTCGTGGTCAAAAATCATAACCGAAGGCCGCTGCTCTCGTGAAACGAAGGTTCAAACCGCCGAAATTGATCTTCAGTCGCTCCGAATAACGTTTTTTTTGTGGTTATCTGAAGTCTAATTTTTATTCGAGATTAACATGTTTTTTGTTATGCTTTTCTAGTTTTCTTTGCTGTTTCGCTGAAGTTCTAGCTTTTCGAATTTATAGAAGATGGTTACAATACAAAAGTTTTTACAAAACAAAAAATTTCCTCAATCTGATATCCATGCATCATCATCACCATATCGAATGCATAGCTGCATACTTACTTCTGAGTCTGAGTGCGAGGAATAATCAAATGAACGACGGATATTTTCACCTTTCAGCTTAATAGGTGCTAAAAAAGACATGTTTTGTATTACACCGCGCCTCGGGCAACAACGGCGGTCCCGGGTCAACAACTACTGTTTCCCTTGGCGTCAGTAAAAAAGTAACTTATATCTAGTGTCAAATATATCTGGTGTCAGTATCTTATATCTATAGTGTCCAGTATATTATATCTAGTGTTAAAATGAAAATAAACCATAGGCCAAAGAAGAGCCAATTTCTAAACATCATAGACATGTATAGACGGAAATACGAAGCAAAGATGTATGGATCAAAATATGAAAAAACATAAAGTTAACTTAGGCCCTGTTCATATGACCCCGCTTACCGGGACGTCTCGCTTACCTATGATCTCGTCGTGTGTTACTTTTACTAGTAAAACTTACAACGTGCTCATATGAGAAAACGAATTGTCCCGCTAGCTGGGATCTCGCCTTTGAGAGGCGAGATCATAGGTAGACGGGATAAATCGATTCCCATATGAACGCGCTATCCCGCTTGGCGGGATGAAATCTAAACACTATAAATACTCGATTTTAATGCTAATTTGCACGATTTTTAGCAAATTTTACGTTTGGGTTAGTACAAATTATCAAAAATATCGCTTAACTAATGTCCTACGATGCAAAACAATCATTAAAGGCAAAAAAATCGCGTTAGCGATCGTTTTATTCTGTATCGATGAAAATTATTTCCATAAAGTTACATTGGAAACGAAAAATTTTTATCTCGGCAAGCGGGATGAAAACACCATATGAACACATGGAAATTTTCATCTCGCTAGGTGAGACATCTCAGTAAGCGGATCATATGAACAGGGCTTTAAAAAACTAGGGAAAATTTTGAAGTTTGATGACCGCACGTGTCGATTACACGTAATCATGGAGATTTGAAGCCCTCCACGCGTGGACCTCATAACAATAGCAATAGCAAAGCAGAAAAGATGAATTTTTGACACTAGGTATATAACAAAAAGATTTGAAATAAAAGAACAAGAGCCTAAAGATCAATATCCCGGATTTTTACTTATTTTTAGCTAAGAGAAATAGCACGATCAGATAATCAACCCTCAGTCATTCTACATTTTTTAGCACAAACGGGAACAAACATTGCATTGAATTATTCTCATGCACAATATGGTAGCATTTCATTAGCATAGCATTAGGAGGTGCAAGTGTTTGCCTAAAGGTGATTAAACCAACGCGTGCATGGTTTGGAGCGCGAATTGCCGATCAATCTGTCATTAAAATTTAGCCTCCAATTCAAATCGTCTCTATGCTACCAACTTTTTTCATTAGTATAAATTGTGATTATTGGGCTTGAACAAGAGTTTGAAAAACTCAATCTGAGTGGAATACGATACCATTGGAAGTAGGTCTTGGACAATCATCTGTGTTCGGCATATTCGAAATCTTTTCTACAATTTCAACTAGGTCGAGAGTCTGATTCCTTTCAGTACTCTCCCCATCAGCGTGCGTCCTTAGTAAAGGTGGAATCTGCATGTAAAGCAATAATATTATTAGAATTCGTGAAGTGTCGTAATTCGTCGTTTTGCAAAATCACGGCATATGAAAATTGCCGATTTGTCTAAAACGAAATTCCCTCATGTGTGCTGCAGAAAGATCAAAGATGGATGGGTGGGAATGGATGCATTCCAAGGCTCATAATTGCTTAACAAAGCTTAACCGATAGTAATATAATAACCACACCAAAAAACCCAGTCTATATTATCAGGAATTAGAGAGAAAAGTTTATATCTTAACTGTTTTGTAAGTCGTGGTAAGTTCCAATGGAACCAAGTAGCAGCGTGGCAACTCATGGCTTCGAGCCTCACGAGTTTAATTACCTGATCGTATGTGTTATCGTCGTCACGACTAGTTTTGTCATCTGTCGGCACTTTAGGACGCTCTAGATTAACTTATTTAAGATGGTTGGTTAGCGATGGTTGGTTCGCGTTTATCATTAGCATTATTCTAAAATGATTTCAAAATGAATACAATAAAGTGAAAATTGCACTTCGTGTCGTGCAATTTTGGTGTGAAATCAAACTTGTGATTACAAATCGCACTCCTGCTTCGCGGTCGTGCGATTTTGTAATCACGCGTTTGATTTGATACCAAATTGCACTTCACACTTACCATTGCAATTACCATTATTTTAAATTATATAAATTTTTTTGTAATCTGTAATCGTTACTAAATACTGTAAATCTGTAATCGATCGCAATTACTTGAGTTTCATTTCAAGAGGAGTGTGATATGAGCATTAATCCCAACCCTTGATGATTTTGGCATTAATTTCACTCATATTCGTTCTATTAACCATTTTTAATTGTATATGCCTGAAAAGTTCGCGATAAAGCGCGACAAAATGTACTGTTTATGTACAATTACAGTCCTCTCGTGTCATTTATAGTAAAAATTATAATGATTTTTCCAAATAACAAAATGGTGGAAAGTATTTTGCATCATTGCATGCAAACTAATTAAACAGCCCTAGAGGAACTAAAAAGGCCAGAAAGGTAAGCGAATGTAGATAAACGTCTGAAAGGAATTTTATAACAAGAAAATATCGGATTCCTGTTTGCGTTGAGAATTATGCCTGAAAGTTCGAGATAAAGCGCTAAAAATCAGTTTATCATGCTTATAGTAAACAAACTTTGGTGTAAACTTTTTCTTTGAGTAACTAAATTGTAGTTCTCTAAAAAATGACAGTTTTAATTGCTTAATTCTGTCACTGATTATGAATAGTAAACTAGTAGTAAAAAAACTTATTAGCTATTTACTTAAGATAGAGCAGTGGCCAATGGCCTCCATGGCAGAGATGAAACTGAAAACCTCGAATACCCGTCGATAATAGGCAGGTAGAGGTGTGTTTACTGGATGACATTTTGTTAATGATGAAAATTTCGATCAACTGAGTACAGCGGTCATGCAACGATGCAAATTATCCGTGTCATTCTATTATTCGTTTTGCCGCATATATAAGAAACTGAAACCGGCCCGGCAACAGTTGAAGAAGAGCAGTGGCGTAGCCAGCTTAACGATTTTGTCCCGCTATATAATTATAATTTAACAACATAAATGTCTTTAGTTTCTCTTCACCATACATTGCTCATTTTCTATACTTTTTCAAATACTGTAAAAGGTAATTCAGTTTGATCATTTCACGACGTCCTGTTTTATATAAACTTTCATATAATATGGCCTGGTCGGCCTGATCTGTCCTTTTTATTTGACATTGTATTCTCAACTTTTTAATAACTATTCTTTTAACTTCGGTCCTGACGAGAAACTTATCAAGACTAATTATCCATTGAATTCCCAAATTCAATGTTCTTGAACTTTAGACTTTCCTACCATACAGCGCATGCGTTCGAGAAGCTAATACTATATAAACAAGTTATAACTAACCATCTTCATCTTTACTTTCGGCCATATTTCCTGCAAAGAGATTTTCACAATAAGCGTTTTAGTTTGGGAAGATAGTATCGCGATATGATTCTTTTACTCTCTTCTAGCATTATTATATACACTTAATGTATGCTCCCGAAATACGGAGTTTTATTTTCCCAAGAGTCTGAATGTTTGAAACATCGAGTCTCGCGGAAAAACAAAACTCACTATTTCCCGAGATAGTGTACATTAAGTGCTTTGTTACATAGGAACAAAGACATACATGTTACAAACCAATTTCATTTAAAAAAACGCTTTATTTTGTTATGACAATATGCGGGCAACAATTCTTCACTTGTTTCCCTGGCAAGGGAAACATTGCATTTATTTAAAGTCATGCGCATAGCCGGACAGCCCGGACTAACCATATGGCAGAAGGGGCGTCCGCTCACGGGCCCAGCGCTTTTGAGGCCCCGCGCTTTACTCTACTCTCAGTAATTTTTTTTTTCGGTGCGTGAAGGAAAAAGGGCCCCAAGCCGCATGGCCACAAAATAAAATAACGTCACTCTAAAAAGAGAGGCCCATTAAATATAAATAAATGCCTTTAAAGCTTATATTAAGCTATCGGAGCAAAAAAAATTACGCGAGGCCAATAAGGCACCCCTGCAACCAGATTCTCCCAAGAAAATTTTAGGGTAATGGGAAAATTTACTGAATTGAAGACTTGAAGTAAAGACAGGGCTGCACAGAGAGCAGGTCAAAGGGGGAATTTGTTCCGGGCCCAGGGTTGCAAGGGCCCCCAAAAACCTACAAGAACTAAAATTAAACAGTTGTTGGAAATAAATAGTCCTCTTTCAGAAAACCTTTTATTTTATTTATAGTTTAGGTAATGCAATATATATTCGATGTCACAGAAATCTCACCCCCAAAACGCAGGGAATCGCATTTGCTGCACTATAAAACGGAAAATTTTCTTCCCAGGGGAGATACCCCCAACCCCCCCTGACACTGCTATAGTTAATAGAAATTCACTTTTCTTACACCTCTCAATGTTCTGCATGGTCATGCATTATCGCCGAACGGTTAATCCGGCCCTGGTCACGTAACTACGAATGAACCAATCACATTTAAAATACACAGCACCTATATAACAATATCTAATATATCTTCAATTATACTCGTTTAAGTATGCACAGCACAAACAAGAGGAATCTTTAGCTTGAGCTAACAATCAATAACACTTGTCGATAATCAATGGCATCATTCATTGGTGATGCAAAACAGTTGCATGGGCTCATTTATACATTCAATATCAAGAGACCAACACTAAAACTAAAACTCGAGGAGGGTAAATGGAGACAGCATGCAGAACACATATTTTCAGTATTTTCTTTGAATATTATGCAAATATTGTCGAAAACGCAATAAAGATTAAGGGGATACAGGCGCAACAGAAAATTATTCAATTATGTAAATATTGAAAACGCCTTCTTTTTGTTGCTGCTACATGGGCGGAGCATGGAAACCATGCATAAACGTAGCGATGTCTAATGCGTCATTCATACATAAATTATTCAAACTTATTCGCTGCGTAATTGTCTGAACGGATAACCTTTTTGAGGGATAAAGTTTGACGTGTTAATATTTTAGAAATATTTTAATTTTATTTGTGTGATCATGAACAGATGTTTGAAGCTCACGAACAGGTTAGGACGAATATCGTTGACAATAGAGAAATTTAGCAAACACGACGTGGCGTCTAAGACGTCGCGAAAATGGCGTGGCATTGGATATTTCACTTCCGGTTTAATCTAGGACGGCAGTCGTGTTAAGTCCACGACGTGAAATCATACATTTTGACGTCGCGTCTACGACGGTGAATTGAAAGCTAATTTTTTTAAAAAAATTGAGGTAAGAAACCTTATTACTTGTTCCCGGATTACATATATTTATGTATATTTTTCTTTACCCTTAAATTGGTTAATTTTTGTCTTCTGAAAATCCCGGAAGTAAATAAAAAGGAAATGCGTAACACGGGTTGGCTCATTACGGGGGTTTTCCCGGAGTCAAAACAAAACAAGTTAAAAAGCAGTAGTGCATTACACTTTATCTGTTTTATTTTCTCGCTTAAAATAGCTAGAAAATATACAATATTTCACCTTAAGATATAATTAATATTTCTTTGCAATACTTTCAATAAAAGCTATGCCAGAAGTGATATCAAGCAGTTTATATTCAGTACATATCTATCGCAGTATCATTTTAGCTTAACTGTGCTTCGTTATTTACCTACATTTTATCACTAAATTTTAGGTGAAAATGACAGAAAACCAGGCAGTAAGCAGCGAGAAATCCCAAATTAAGTGCCGGTATGCCTTTCAACATAATTTCAATGCATCGGTTCTGCACATAAGTCTTAACTTCGTAAATCTTAACTTCAAGTCATAACAATGCACGACCCGCAAATTTGAAAATTGCCAATATTTTACATGTGTCTACACACGGACTCTAGTTCATATTCATTTAAAATTATAGCGAACCAATAATGTGTGAAATACGCTGACAGTTCGTTGCATTTCAAAAAATAAAACAAAATGTGTTCTAAATGTAAACATTTAAACGTTTGTTTACATTACGACTAGATCTCATCTTCACAAATTAAATAATCATAATAACACATGAATATTTTAAAATTAATATATATTTCATGTGTAAGTACAGAGCATGGAGAACCGAATTGACCCACCGAAATGAATATATGAATGCTCATTTTATAACAGCTATGAAAATAATCTAAATAAAAAACTTATAGAGTACAAATGGTGTGGAATAACGAAAAAGACAAAACACTCTTGAAGGAGATGGCTGCAGAAGGGGTGATGAGAAAAAAACCCAAGTCAAGGGACAGAGGAACATCATGGGAAAAGGTTGTCAGCAACTTGAATTCTTCTGCAGAGTTTGAGGTGTCACAAAAGTCACTTCGTGATCGTTATAAGCTCCTGGCAAAAAAATATAAAAATAAGATGAGAAAGGAAGAGAGTTCTACAGGTGGTGGGGGTGATGGGCCAAATGAGCTAGAAAGTTTATTGCAAGATTTAATAGAGATGGAGGAGGATGCAGAACAACGAGTGACAGATGAGAATGCAGAAAAGCAAAATACTATCGAAGCTGATAGAGCAAAGGCCATGGAGATGCGACAAAGGGCGATGGAGAGCTTTGGCGAAACAAGAGAAAGGCTTCAGGAGAATGACATACATGTACCAAAAAAGAAACGAAGATCAAACAGAGAAGGCATGCATGCTTTGGAGAAAGCCATCGAGTGGAAACAAAAAAATGATGAGGAGGAACGCAAAGCAAAGGCTGAAGAACGACAGCAGCAATTGGTTATGCAAGAGGCATTTATGCGACAGCTGGAGGCAACCCAACAACAACAAACCGTTCAGTTTAAATTAACTGAACAGCAGCTGCTCAGTACAATACATCAGCAACAGCAACAACAACAACAACAAGTACAGCAATTTGCTGCAATGCAGGAAAACATGGTACGGATGATGGAACAGCAGCAAAGACAGACTGAGCTAATTCTTGAGCTTTTCAGACAGTCAAACAACAATTAAAATAATTTTTGAAAATATCTTTGCAAAGTTCAGTTTTATTATAAGGTGTAAATTATTTTTTAAATTGTTAAATAATTGAATGATAACAACATATTCTCACTAATTCTGCATCACACTTATATGTGGATGAAATGTTTCCAATGTTATACTATTTTTAAAAGTAATTTGTAACATATTAAAATTTGTAAAATATTGCTTTAAGAAAAATTAAAGCAGAATACCACTTTTTAACAATTCATATACATCAATGTCTATAATGATATGTTCTTTTTACGAAAAATATTGTTCCAAACTTGGTGGTGAAAGCTCAAAATAACTTGAAATAATGTTTCCATATAAGCAAGTATGTGCATTTTGTAGCAATGCACACACAATATACATCTTGCCAATGGCACTCATGTTAATTTTTTGCTGTTTTTTCATGTCAATGAATGAAAAGTAATTGCTGATGCTCCCAAACATCCACTCTACTGACACACGAACAGTGCTCATGGCTTTGTTAAACATTTGCATATAGGGAGTTAGCTGTCTGTCTTTAAATGGACCTTGAAGGTGAACGCCCAAAGGATACGCTGGGTCACCATAAAGACAGAGTGGCATATCACCATGAAATGCATGTTGATCTAGTGACTGTAGAAGTCCAGACTGGTACAACATTGTGCTGTCATGCCGTCTGCCCTCATAAGGCCCAGAAAGATTGGCAATCAAGCCATTTGGCACCACAACACTCTGAAATTTCATGCCATGGGTTCGCTTGTGGCCATTATACATGCCTCGTTGATTTACAATCGGCCTAGCTATCCTTCGTACTGTTCCATCAACAAATCCGAAACAGTTTGGAAGTGGGGACCCATGGGTATGAATGCTATCAGCATAAGCAGAAAGATTTTCAGGTGATAGAAATGGTTGCTCCCAGCTTTCAAGGCGATGATGATGTGTGTTATACACAAAATTTAGTACCGTGTTGAAAATAAGGCAAATTTTAAGGCAGGTTTCGTCCAAACATGCCAACCATATCTGTATACCGACAAGGATAAGCCAATCTCTTCAAAAGGATGCACAAACCTTCCAAACCAGTGCATGTTGTTCTTTGGCAGCAAACAATTTTTTCGGGGATGTTGAGGCAATTTAAGAGGATTGGGATATCACTCTTTCTGAAGCGCAATTCTGTATGACACTGTGTGTCATCTAGATTCTCCAAATTAAACTCATCAAATTTCCAATACGGATAAATTGATTTTGATTGGTTTGCGATATGCAAATAAATAAAATCGTCAAAGTCCACCAAGTCGTTAATGTAAGCAAGATTTAAGTATTCGCGAAAGCTTTGCAAACCATAGCCAGACATTCTACAAATATTAAAGCAATTTTTGACTGCGATTTTCACTGCAATAAAACATACGTGATATTCGCGAAATTTGAGTTTGAAAATTAAACAACCGTCTTTGAGCATTCGAAGTTGAAAATAATCTATTGCCTTCACCCTGAGAGCAACCTTTCTATTTCATGTCTTAATCTAGATCTAAAAAAGATGAAGAAACTCACCTGATAAATACATATTCCAAAGTTGTGAATAAAAAGTTCCAAAGGAATATTCCAAACCGACTAAACGCGTATATCAACCTCTTGCTAAATCACAAATAGTTTACGACGTGGTGGCGTCCTAGTCCCAGATCGCTCGCGCTAAAACGGCGACGTCTTAGACGCCACGTCGTGTTTGCTAAATTTCTCTAATATTAGTGCGCAACGTCGAATTCATGTATTTCATGACCAAATGTGACTTGTGCGTACATTTTGATTATATTAATTCCTTTATTTACATTGATTCCCCTTAATTGATAGTTTGCATTGGTATTGATAGTTATTTAGTAGTCACTCCATCAATTATTTTTGTTGTAGAACGTAAAAATATTTATGGAGACATTACACGCGTATAGTCTAGTAACTCGATATGTCAGTAATATACCTGATGGCAAATTTATTAGAATGATTGGATGCATATTTCTTCGTTAGTAGTTTGTGGAGTTATTGTCTAAATGCGATTAAATATTGGGTAGACCTAACTAAATTACCTGGTGGTTTAAAGCGTAGGAACTTTAAGAGCCATCGATTTTGATCGCTTGATGGCGATGATTAAAGACGATAAATATGGCAGTGGTGACCTTCAGCCTTTCTGAAAATTAAGCTTTTCATTTCGGGCCCGGGTGAATACAATAAATATGATGTATGTGAAATGCAATGGTATAGATATAGAAAGCTGCGATAAAAACAGAATTAAAGTGAACTTAACGGAGACATGCAATGACTAGCTTATTCTGTTAATTAATTTACCGACGGGCAATCTTCCTGATAGGCAAGATGAGAAATCTATGAATTACCACTTTATATTTAAGCTTTGGTTTCAACTGCGTTTTTATATAAAAAAATATTAATGCGACAAGCATATCAAGAAAAAATAACGTTCCGATAATTAAGCCGGTTAGTAACCAATCTCCACATTAGAGTTTACTGTAAGCACAGCCGTAAGGTACACATATGTAGCTAATATCAAAGACCAGTTTGAAATTATACACCTAGCCGCGAAGGACTTGTTTTGTTGAATATCATGAACCATGAAACAAGCAATATTGAGTGTACAACGTACGCCTGAGAATCAGATTAGACCTTTAGTGTAAATTAGTTCAAAGTGCAGATTACATTATTGCTCTCCTTTATGCAGGGTTTCACAATGTACTGACTTTCACAGAATACACCAAAGCAATTAACGTCAGAGTTCATCGCTTGAGATATGAATCCTGAAGTTTTTCTCCTGTTACGTAATAGAATTTTTAACCCACTTACCCGCAGTAGGTAACGATTCACCTGAACTAGATCAAAGATGCGTGTTTTTAAACGTCTCTCCGTTTCAAACAGATAACCAAAGTTGCTGCAGATAAAGAAATTCACAAAGCAGCTTTTTACAGTGAAATTTAATTGAAGATAATTATGATCGATTTAGGTTGCAAGGCATTTCCGCATTTTTGCATTGCGCACGTTTCCTACGCATCTACCTATCCTTGCGCAATATACCTATGAAATTCTTCAGTCATATAAATGGCTTGCAATTAAGACGAAATAGAACTGATTTGAAAATAAATTGTTACGCCTGTGATCTTATAAAGCAGTATGGATGAATAACTTTACAGACCTGCCTTTTTTTCACCTTACTGACTCAAAGATAAACATGTGTGTGTGTTTGTGTAATGCTATAGCTGATAATTACGGGAGAGTTGCCTCGCATGGGTCCCGTTCGCACTCTTGCCGCTTGGGTATTGTTATGCAATAAAGTTGTGAAAAAAAAGATAAAAAAGATTTATCAACAAATGTATACACCTCTTTGAATTTATTCGTCAATTTCGTTGAAATTATTTTTATTGGGAAAGCATTTATTTTTAAAGGTGAATCTGTTCAAAAAGTAATTTAAATTTGGCTAAAAATTGTAGTAGTAAAACTGCTCGTAGCTAAATTAATATATTATAGTTATACTTAAATTTGATAGCTCGAGTCGACTTTATAATTGTACTTGATATAGAATTTTACTTATACGCCTTCGATCATTAGCAGAAACAAGTATTACAGTATTTCAATGATGGAAATATATTTTTCTTGCTTCAGTATTTGCATGCACGTGTTTCTAGTAAAATTATTTGGTATTTGTGGGGCAGTACGGGGGCCTATTTGCCGGTAATCATAAAGTAAGTAAAGTAAAGTGTTATAGTACCGAACTTCTATCGAGCGAGAAAAAAGTGATTTATACATTCGAAGTCAGCCTTAATCACCGGATGTTAATACCAGCATACTGTATGTAGCTATGATTACTAATAATATGACGAAAAGCTTTACAAGGAAAGTAAGCGTTGAAAGGCTAATATTTGCAGCCGTTTTAGTCTCACGAGGCACCTGTATGTGTACAATAATACATGATGCATACCCTCATCTGTGAGCCGGTGATTTGCTGTCTCCGCGATTCGGTGTTTTGCCTTTAGCGATCATTAGCGTTCGTGAAAATGAAAGTCTCAGATTCTTTCATCGTAACATGCGTCGTCTTTGGAAGGACGCAATGGTTTGCAACAGGATTTTCATCCTGTGAATACGAAATGAGCCGCGTAGCAGCCATTGTCATCAATCAATGGCCTGTTAGTGATCTCAACCGTCTTATACTGAACCTGATAGCAATGGTGCACCAAATCTTCTTGTCATGACAATTCTTAAATCAACTCAACTGAAGAACAAGATTTGTTATTTTCTCATACTCATTCAATCTGTCGTTCATTTAGAAGTTGGTTGTATAGGAGCACCGTTATCACTCTTTACTGCTGCGAACATTCCTGGGTCTCAGGGATTGCTTTTCGAGCTTCATAATTTCTTAATTGTCGATTCTACAACTTCTTGTACTACATTACGATGCGATAATGCTATCAAATTCGTGCCCATAATAATTCCCAATAACGAATAGTATAGTGCTATGATATAATTGATACATTTTGAATTTATATTACAATGTTTGGAAACATTACTATTTACAATTTAATTAGCATAATGGGGCCATTTCTTTTGGGTTGGTTGGTTGGTGCGTATTGTTCTTATTTACGAGTTGTGAAAACATGACGGTAAAACGTGGCGGTTGCCAGTTAAGATATAGTCACACTTCGCCCCTGTATGGCATGTAAAAAAATTGCCTCTAAATTCATCAAAATCGGCAAACGAATAAGTTTTAATACTATATATGGTAAATCAACATGCAGTAATATGTATGCGTAAATGTAAAACAGTATGGCTTGCCATTCGTTTATTGAAAAAAATACTCGATCCCCATGGCGGCAATTATAGAAGTCAGGCTGGACAACAAGGATTGTAGACTCAATTTATACTAATTGTTCAAGTGTTCTTTGTGTCACTTTTCTCTATAAAAGAAAATATTTACGAATTAAGATCATACCTACTCAAAAACCCATACTCAAAAATACAGAAAGCAAGAGGTACTGCAGTCTAAATTTCGAAGTGTCCAGCGAACACCGAATAAGTGTAAATACACACAATTTTGGTGTAAATCAGTACATTACACCCACAAAGTGCAAATTTACCCTTCGAGGTGTATTATTACACCAATATTGTGTTTTCTCAACACCGGTTAAAGTGTATAGCTAAAGTTAATCCTCTTTGGCGTAAATTTACGCCGAAAGTCGGTAAATATACACCATTCTTGTGTAATAAAGCACCACTTTGGTGTAAACGTTATCGCTATAATTTTGTGTTGAATAAGAGTTTGCGCGTGCATGCGCTGGAAGCTTTTGTCGAAAAATTATTGCAAATGGATTATCATTATTCCTAAATAACTAAATAACAGTTATTGAAGTAGTCATGCAGGCGTTCACTTTTACCAGGCGTTAACATCTGCCAGGTAGCACACAGGGCGCTTATATAGATAAATATAAGCACCATGCATGGTTGCATATGAGTGCTTGTGCTACTGTTGAAAGTTGTTGTCTGCATGCAGAGGTCCTGCAGACCCCTACAATTCCCCATCTTTAAATTACCAATTTCCAGTTAGGACCATTTTTATCATGCCCCCCCCTCTCCACTATACTATTGTGATGACATGTGCAGTGATAAAAAATTCTTAAAATTAGCTATGATTAAGATTGTTCCACGGAGGGCATGCACATTTTATTTTATTAGATACAGATCGACGAGCAGAGCCGAGGGCAAGGGATGCCAAGCTAAATTTCCGAATGGAATATTGGAAGCGAGAATCTTCCCGACAAGCAAACAAAATTCATTATTATATACCACTTGTCAAAGTTTGGTGTTGGTAGCATTTCATTGGTCGAGAGCGAATCATGCGAGAGTGACGAAATTTTGATGTCGCCAGCGCGACCCCCTGCAAAATGAGATAACGTGTTATCTCATGGGAAATAACAACTTTAATTATCCATCTTCTGTAATCACTGTCAAATACTTCAATTTGATTGGTTTACAGGAGTGCGATTAATCATTAATCGCACTCTTGGTGAGCTGTAATCGCACTCTTGTTCACAGCCAATGAAATTCAGCATAGCTTTACAAGTAGCCAATCAGCATTCAGGATACAAAATAAGAATTTGTTTTCTTTTGGGGCGCGAAATTTTTAAAAATGGAGGAATTTGACAATGATTTTGAAAATTTTGACCTTTTAAATGATATATTTGCTGAAGAAAATGACCAGAATTTTTGATTACAGAAGATGGATAATTAATAAGTAATAGAACGAATTAAGTCGTGCAATTAATGCCAAATCATACTCGTGCTTGTAATCACTCGTATGATTTTGGCATTGATTGCACTCCTATTCGTTCTATTACCATTATTAATCACGCGCAGCGCACCTGGACGTGCGACCTTTTGACTATTTATCCATTTGAAATTATGTCTTTTATGAATAGATATTTCGTTGTTCACCTTGTAGTTTGGTTTTTCTTTGACAAGTGGTATATAATAAAAAAACGTATTTATCGAGAACTCAGAAAACGTTATGTTTTGTGGACCCTCGACATTTCAGGTCTCGGGTCCACAAAACATAATGTTTCCTTCGTTAGCAGTAAATAAGTGAAATTTTGCCTATGGCAGTGCGAGTAATTAGATGTTAAGGATTTAGATCTGTGAAACTAGTTTCTTGTAACGGACGTTTATGACTGGTCGGATGGTGCGACAGAAAGCTAGATACATATTTGTCCGCATTGGTGGGTTTACGGAAAACAGCAGTTTCTGATTTCCCTTCGAATAATCTATGGAAATGCGTATCTACAGCGAGTTGGACGAGTGATGGGTAATTGCTACAAAACATCCATCCTAATCTCAGAAACAGCAGAGGACACAGAGTGACACTTATTTTACTTGGATTAAAACGGCTTATAACACATCATGATCCTAAAATATTAAACGATATCTTCCACTGGCTAAGAATGATGTCTTTGTGGTAATAGGAATCTAGTCTGAATTTTTTGCAGCGACTATATATATGCTGTGAAAAAAGTATCCCGTGCGGTGATAACGGTACGAAACAGTTTGTATACGCAAGCTCGCTAGAAAGTTAAGATGAGATTTATGCAAGAGAAGTAGACGTTTATTCTTTTCTATTTTAGTCGATTTTCCAGCGGGATAAGACGGTATAGCCATTTATGTCATCTATAAAAACAACACAATTTCCTCTATCTACAGAGAGTTTCAGAACCACAAAATTAGTTGCTAACTATAAGCGCGACCATTCAAAGCCCAAACGTTATAAATGGAATAGTGACAGGCGGCAATCTCAGGAAGAAAAAAAGCCGGTATTTTCCAAAAGTTTTTTTTATATCTTTTTACTCCGAATTGCATACAGGTTGATGGAATCTCAAACCATTTTGCAATACTTAATTTATTTTACACCGTTGATTGAGATACAGAGATGTAATATCGATTACAGGTTAATGCCTTTTATATAATGATGAACGAAACCCAGATGTTGGCATAATTATAATATCTGCAATTGTCTGGGGCCGGTTGTATGAAAGCCAAATACCGCTATCCACTGCGGATAGTGATTTTTTTAACCGTTCCAAAAATAGCAATGTTATAGCAAACAACGGGCGATTTTAAAGCTATTGAAAAAACAGTATATCCTGTTTTCATCCAACTGGCCCCAGGTCTTTTAGCAACATACTGATTTCATGGCGGAGATCGGAACGATAAAGAATTACAGTTGTCATGTAAATAAGATTAGCAAGTGCGTTCGGTGGTCGGCTGTAGTTAGCCTTGATGTGGATCTAAATCCTCAAGGCAATGCGAATTAAAGTCTGCTGTGAAATTCTTCAAGAAGTAAACGTTGTTTACTTTGTGAACAAATAATATTCCGGATTTCTCATGGTTAAAACATCGCTAGAAATCGCTGTAT